AAATGTTATATTTGCGGTGTATTTGACTTGATATTTAATAAATAATGAAATAAAATAAATGGATGTTATTTGCAATCGCATCCAAATAGTTAATATCAATGTTACTCAGAATATAATTATAGAAAAACAAAAAAAAATATTAATGAGCAATTAAATTAAAATATTAAATTAACTTAATAATTTAATTTAACATCTAAGAATTATGACTATCAGTCATGATGGTAAAGTGTAATGGCTTAAACTAAAATAGTATTTCGATTATATGATATTTCCCTTGAACTGGTACAAAATTTAATTTTTAATTTATATATTTTTAGCTTCGATGTGAAGCTGAGAAGGTATTGGTTTTACTATGATGTGTGTTTTTTTTTCTATTACCACTTTTTCTCAGCTCTCACCCGAACCGATTTCTTTCAACAATACGTCAAAAGATCACAAATCGTATTTAGTCGAAGACATTACCCTCAAAAATTGAAAAAATTTCCTTCATTCCCCGTAAATAGGGGAATTTTCTAAAAAAATTGCAAATTTACAAATTGCTAATTTTCGACATTTTATCAATTTATTTTACTTAAAACTGCCATAACTTATTTAAAAATAACCAAATAAATATAACTTTTTTTTATAAATGTATAATGTTTTACCTATCATTTGGTATATTTTTTTTATTAATCTGATCCTTTACCAGCCCACAGGGGGAATTCAAAATGACAACTTTTTCACAAAAAAATAACTTTTTTAACTTAACTTTTGAAAGTTTTCCGGAAACTCTGACACTTTTATATATATCTTAAATTAAAGATAATGTAATATACTTTATCATGGAAAAAAATTGTTGGACTTTATTATATCTACACGGTGAAAATGGCTACCGAATGCTATTTTTGTGTTAAAATTATCGATTTTATATTTTTAACTTTATTATGCTATAACTTTATGAAAAGTGTATGGATCAATACAATTTTTATATAATATTTATATCCCTCTTTCATTTGACATACTTTATCTTAATCAGAATATAAATAAGGAAATAGCAGATCATGTAGCTTTTGGAATAATCCACCAATTTTTTAAAATTAAACACTATCTAAAGATTTTCATCGAAGCGTTTTTTATGATAGTGATTTTAATCACTGTCAGATATCATCTATACTTGTCCCAACTATCCTACGTCCATACTGTGTCACGACCCCCCTGTGTATATATATAGATTAGATTAAACTGAAGAAAAATACAAATATATAGACGAGCAAAAAAAAACAAATTTCAAGTCGTTGTTTTGAAAAAATCCTGCGTAAAAAGAAAATGAACTTATGAAATATATATTAAGGGTCTGATTATCCTAATTCCTTACTACAAAGCTGATTTACAGTATACTCTAATACATTTTTGTACATAAAACTTCCATCGCGAATAAGAGATTAGATAATAATAAATTTAAAGCTACATAAAAATAAATAATAAAAATATGATCAATGGTAATCCAAAAAGGTATCCCATTATTTATGACATTTAAAGTAATTTTTATTGATAATATAAATATATAATTTTTCAATAAAGTTGAGCGTCAATGGTTCGTTAGACGTATATTAAATTAATGACAATTTATATAAATAAGAATTATAAGTTTTTGTTAATCAGAAAAAAATTAATTCTCTGACTCACTGACAAAATTGATAAATTATAATGTTAATAGCACACTATTATCATATTTAAATCATTTTATTAACAAGGTTAAAGTTTTTATGAAAAATTTGTTTTCTTAAGGAATTTTCCATTCTTAAGCATACATTTCGGTTATTCATTTACTTTAATGTTCCATCTTAAAGGTCAAACACGTTTAAAAGGTTTTATCTTTATTTTTCAGAGTTTCTCCTTTAATGAGTCATATATAATTTGAAAATAAAAATTATTTTACGCCTTAAGTCATTTTTACAAATCTTTTGCTACCAATAGACTAACGCATTGATTTATTATTCGTAAGTCGTTAGTCATCTTTTATAGAGGCCATTGACACAATGTCTCGTCAAACGTGAATGTCACTGCGAATCAACGACAACAATTATACTGACCACAACTCAAGAGTCATGTCCTAAGTACATATACAACTAGTAGACATATTATAGTCATCATTACGCGACACGTTCTTAGTTTGTGACTTGGCTTTGACATTACGAGTGTTACGCGGTGCACATTTCAGAATTATATTATACTTCTTGTAATGCTTTTGATCTATCTACAGCTATAATCCATAATAATGCAAAGAGTTTTTACTTTAAGTGTCTCTCCCTTGAATTTGTAGAATTAACAAGCAAAATATCCGTTTAACAATCAACACTGTTTTCAAAAAATGACAAAGTTGATTTATAAAAATATTAAAAACGATTTTATGAAATATTTGAGTTTATTTTAAAATATATTTACAAGAACTTATACAATTATTTCATAATTATTTAAACATATTTCTTGAAAAAATAATTTGTGCTGATGCAAAAATTCATCTAATCGGCTAACTTGGTATCGTCATTGGTTCATTTGATTCGTCTAAGGTGTTTAATGATCTTACATTCCCCGATACTAGTTTCCGATTACCGTTATATTTTACTCGACAGCGGTCCAGTATTGATACACTCTGTTGGTAAGTACGAAGAACACGAAGTCCGAGAAGTATCTTTTGATGAAAAATACCTTTTATAAAATTATAAATACATTACATGCTCTCACACTTTGTCTCCACTTAATAACGTGTATTCTTGATAATTATTAACTCTGATTTCTATTATTTTAATGATCTGGCATATTTATAAGTGTTTATTTCAAAATAATTTCAAAAATAATAATGTTTGAAACATTGTGAGAAAATCTAAGAAAATTAATAATTAATTTATAACGAATCACGATTATTAATTCTGTTATCATACGCTTATACTTCAACAAGAAGATAAAATCTAAACAAATAACCAATTTCTATAATGTACTCATTATTGTTATTTATAATAAAAAATAGTTTATTTTGTAATAACTTGTGATTGTATGTGCTATTTGACGACGGGTTGGGAAAATATGTCTAGATTTTTTATGTAGTTTAATTTAGTTTGTTTTTCAGTTTATTTATCTTGAATATATTTTCAGTTTCTTCTCGACATTAAATTGATTTACCAATCATATTTATATCAAATAGTTCACTTAATAGTTTTATGATAAATATTCAATATAAAATTTGAAATTATGGATTTAAAGAAGACACTAATAATTAGAATATATAAACTTATTAAATTTTAAACCTCCTCATTCATTCATTAACCGTAAAATAATGTTGATTTTGTAAAAATTATCATGTTACCTAATTATCAAACATTTAGTCGTACATATAAAAATAATATTAAATATTATAACATGAAAATAAATATAATATATATTATATTGTAATATATATAATGTTTATTTTTAAAAGTTTCGGTGCATTAAAATAGCACTAGCTAAATATTTTTAAAAAACTTTTTAATACTTATTTCAATATACATATGATATTCTTTTTCCTCGCCTTAACCATAACTACTTGGGGTCGGCAAAGTATACTTATGATATACATAAAAATATGAATATGATTATAAAACCTCAAACTACTGAACACTTGAACATTTCTTTCAACTTAGTATATTATGTATCATATAGTTCTTGCTTTTGTGGTTAAATATCAAATTAGATTAATAAAAAAATATTCATTACAATTAATTTATACTTTCATATTGCGGTAAGCTGATCAAATAATTTTAAGAGAGAGTATAATATAAGCTATTGTATACATTTGATTAAGCGCCACAAATTGATATTTAGTTTATGGTAAGAAAACTAGTTTTTATAATAATTATATAATTAATTTATTATTATTTTAGGTTATTAAACTAATAAAATTATAACTAACATGAAAATATCGATTAATATACTAATAAATAATATGAACTTATATAAGTTATACTTAAATAAATAAAATTTAAAAAGTAAACGGTCAGTAAATAACTGTTGTATTAACATATAATCAGGACGAACTAAATATCTATCCTTCCACTAATATTTCCCTTTTTAATTTTAGCTTCGATGCAAAGCTGAGAAGGTATTAATTTTACTATGATGTATTTTTGTGTCTGTCACCACTTTTTCTCAGCTCTCACCGAACCAATTTCTTTAAACAATACGTCAAAAGACCACAAATCGTATCTAGTCAAAGACATTACCCTCAAAAATTGAAAAAATTTCCTTTGTTTCCCGTAAATGAGGGAAACCTCCAAAAAAATTACAAATTTACAAATTGCTAATTTTCGACATTTTATCAATTTTTTTTACTTAAAACTGCCATAACTTATTTAAAAATAACCAAATAAATAAAACTTTTTTTTATAAATGCATAATGTTTTACCTATATTTTGATATATTTTTTTTATAAATCAAACCCTTTACCTGTCCATAGGAGGGAATTCAAAATGACAACTTTTTTACAAAAAATTAACTTTTGAAAGTGTTCCGGAAAGTCTGACACTTTTATATATATCTCATATTAAAGATCATGTAATATATTTTAATACGAAAAAAAAAATTTTAGACTTTATTTTGTTTTCATGGTGTAAACGAACATTAAAATAATAAAAAAATCAGAATTTAAATAAGGAAATAAGAAATCATGTAGCTTTCGGAATAATCCATTAATTTTTTAAAATTAAACATTATCTACAGATTTGCATTGAAGCGTTTTTTACGATAGGGATTTTAATCACTGTCAGATATTATCTATACTGGATCTAACTATGCCACGTCGCCACTGTGCCGCAACCCCACTGTGCTGAGTTTTTTTATATTTCATATTATTTGTTTTTATTTTTTATTAGTGTTATACTACGATTTTTTTTGTACAATTCATTTTTCATAATGTTTCTTTTGAACTTAACTACTTTCAATTTATTTTTTATAATTATTATAGATTTTCAACATTATTTTGTTTTTAGTTTGAAGATGCGCACACGATGGAAGGACATTTTTCTAGCTCTGATGATAATATCTATCAACTCAAGTCATGCCGCTACTATGTCATGCGAAGACTTTCAGAATGAGTTTCGGTATCCGTGTACTTGTGAAGAATTTCGTCCAATTGGGGGTTTAGCAATAAATTGTGATGGCGTTGTATTTTCCGGAGATAATTTTGTCGTGCCTAAAGATGCACCTATTTTAGTTTTTACTCAAAAAAATGCTGGTCATCATTCAATTCCCTCACAATTATTTCCATCCAGTGGTAAGTAATTCATTTGAAGGGTTGTTTTTATGTTTATAAAAATAAGAAAAAAAATCACATTTATCCTTATGTTTTCAGTAAAAATAGATTTATCACAAAATTCAATAAGAAGGTTACCTGAAAAATCTTTCATAGAAGTAAAAAATTCTTTAGAAGATTTGCGCTTAGCTAATAATCTATTGGGCGATAACTTAAATCCAATTTTTTCAACAACCGAATTTCATGAGCTATCCAAATTAATACGCCTTGATCTCAGCGAAAACAGAATATCTTCTTTAGAAGAAGGTATTCTTAAAGGCTGTATTCGTTTAGAAGTAATTTTTAAATTTAAAATTAACAATTTTATTTATTTAAGTACTAAATGTATTATTATTTTATAGGAACTCAAATTGAATGGAAACAGGCTTGAATTTGTACCTAGTTCCTCCCTAAACGGACCACAATCATTGCGTACTCTTTCACTAAAAAATAATAGAATAGGTAATTTTGAGATTTATTATTATACTATCTTTTTATAAAAGATTTATATATTTATCTACTATTTTTCTATATATTTCTATTTTGCAACTTTTTATAGAAAGGGTTCATCATGGATCATTCTTATCACAAAAAACTTTACTTATCATTGATTTATCTTCTAATCGAGTAAACAACATTGAAATCGGTGCTTTTGAAGGATTATCTTCAATTAAACAAATTTTACTTTCAGAAAATCGCTTAACTAAATTTAACAGTGATGTATTTCAAGGTAATCAAATTTTAATTATGAAAAATATTTTTTTATTTTATTTATCATTTTTTGTTTTCTAATAAATTTTTATTAGGTGCTGAAAAATTAGAAAAATTAGATGTTTCAAATAACTTTATTGCTGAATTTCCGACGGTTTCCCTAAAGCGATTCGATCATTTAAAAATATTGAATTTGTCTTCAAATCTTTTACAAGTAAACAATTAGAAATAAAATTATAACCCATAAAAAAAATAAACTTTAAATTTTTTTATTACTAATCATGTATAATGAACTTTTCTAGAAATTAGATAATTCTCACCTTACTACGACTTTGGAGGTATTAGACGTGAGCAGAAACAACATAGGAATTATTTCACCAGGAACATTCATGAGCTTAAAAAAATTGAAAGTCCTTAATTTGTCAGTGAATATGTTGAGAAATGTAAGCCTTTATAAACTTAGGTTTGTTAATTAATTATTTTAATATTATATTATTTACATTTAGATTGAAGATGATGCTTTTGATGGTCTGGCGAATTTGGAATCGTTGTCTTTAGAAGACAATAATATTTTACTAATACCAGTAACTGCATTAAATAAGTTACCACGATTAAGTAAGTTGCGTCTGGATTATAATAGGATTGCTGCATTGTCATCTAGCATTCTCCGGGGAATGGCTGATATGCTAACTGAACTGGGACTTAGTAGGAATGTTATAAGAGAACTACCATCAGATGTTTTCCAGGTAGATAATCTTTTTTAAATATTTCAACATCGATTATTATTAATATAATTATAATTGTTAATAGGACTTCAAAAAACTCAAAGTGCTTGATTTAGGTGGAAATTTATTGTTATCTATTGAGCCGACAATGTTTTCTGGATTAGAAAATACTTTGGAATTTCTGAATCTTCAAGGAAATAGAATTGCTACCATTTCGCCAGATCCAATAAATTTACAATCACTAAAATCGTTAGATTTATCTTTCAATCAACTAAAAGAAATACCACGTCATACTTTCATGATGATGTCATCTCTTTTAAATTTAAATTTAAGTCACAATCCACACTTAGGTTTAATACCAGTTAGTGTATTCCATCCTTTAAGTCAGTTACAAAAACTTGATCTTAGTTTTACTAATATAAAAATATTGAGCCCTGAATTATTTTTCAAAACTAATTCTCTGACTCACCTTAATATACGTTGTAATGGAATTACAGAAATTCCCGAAACTATGTTTCAAACCTTATCAAATTTAATTTGGTTAGACGTTTCAGAAAATCAAATAGCGAACATCCGTATTGGTTCATTTGCTGGTTTATCATCCATTAAATATATTAACTTATCTAAGAACAAATTGTCATCATTTAAAGGAGAATATTTCATTACAAAACGAAGTAGTGGAACTTCATTAGAAGAAATAGACATGTCAAACAACCAAATCAGCTATTTGTTTCCATCAACGTTTAAAGTTCATCCATCAATAAAAAGTATTCGTCTTTCCAACAACAAATTTAATTATTTTCCTTCTGAACTGATTTCTGGATTAGCATATCTACAAGAAATAGATTTGAGTAAAAATAGTCTTAAGGCTTTAGAAGAATTTGATTTCGCAGGTTTGCCAAATTTCAGAGAACTTAATTTAGCAGAAAATCAAATTGATACCATTAGCGAAACAACATTTCATAACTCCACTCAATTACAAACAATAAACTTAGCAAATAATAATCTGGAACGTATTGGAGAAAGAACTTTCCAGGGCTTAAACAGACTTCATTACTTAAGTCTTGAGAATAATAATCTCACTGAACTACCAGATTTAATCTTTGATCGTTCACGATTAAAAGTGTTAGAAAATATTAATTTATCGAAAAACAAATTTACTACAGCCCCACTAAAAAGTTTACAAAAGCAATATTTCTTTTTATCATCTGTTGATCTATCTTCAAATAAATTGATTGATTTACAAACTGATGACAGCATTTTAGTAAACATTAAGAAATTAGATTTATCGTTCAATCCGCTCTCGGAATCAGCTGTTAAAAATATTCTTAGTGAACCCAAAACAGTAAGGGAATTGAATGTAGCCGGTACTGGTATTAGATCATTATTAGCACTCGAAACTCCATTTTTACAAAAGCTTAATTTGTCATTTAATTCAATTGATGATGTAGATGAACATATGTTCGATCGGGCAACGCTCATTGAAGAGCTTGACTTATCTCACAACGAGCTCCAAAGTTTAGCCTCCCTCAAGGCTGTTTGGCCCAAGCTTAAAAATATTCAGTCAGTTGATTTATCGTGGAATCCAATTACAAGTATAGTTTTGGGAGATATTGATGGACTAAGTTCATTGCGATCATTACGTATAAGCAATTTATTTGAGTGTAACAAAATAGAAAAAAATGCGTTTAAAAATCTAGGTAATTTAGTGGAATTAAAAATGTTTGACTTACCAAAACTAGGTTATTTGGATGTCACAGGCCTTCTAAATAACTTACACTCCCTAGAAATACTTGATATTGAAGTAAAAGATTCATCAATAGGTACTCAATTGTCAGCTGCTATGAATCCTAGACTCAAGTCTTTAGCAATCCAGGGCCAAATGATTAACACTATTTCTTCGGGAGCTCTAGCGGGATTGAAATCACAAATAGTACAAATAAAAATTCATAATACTTCACTTACTAATCTACCTCCGTCACTGCTCATACCGTTACCGAGATCGTCTGAAGTCCAACTAGACGTTTCTAGCAATCAACTAACTACATTGTCATCGCAATTTTTGTCAGCATTAGATGATAGAAGAAGCTTGCTTAAATTCCATGGTTTAAAATCTAACCCTATATATTGTGATTGCAATGTTAGGGCACTAAGAAGATCGCCTCTTGCCATAGATTTAGTATGTTCAGCGCCAGCCTTTGTTGCTGGGAGTATATTGATTGAAATTCCTGACGATGACCTAACTTGTGATATCAGTCGGCAAACAACTACGACTATGGCAACATCTACATTGCTCATGACTTCTACGACTAATAACCCAGTGACAATCGTTAAAGCACCGAAAGTTCCAATGAGAACAACAACTGAACCAGATATTATATGGTCATTACCTCCAGCAACTACGTCTAATCAAAAGCCTCCATTAACTATGAAATCGCCTAATTTGGCATCAGTCACAACAATAGCAAATGACGATACTCTAATTATTGGAATCGTTGCTGGTGTGGTAGTATTTATTGCTATATTGATAATTATCATTTGCATTGTTCGTATTAGATTATCTGCAGCTGAATACAATTCTCACATGAATGCTTTGCCTCCTGTTTTAGGTGCCTCTTTGCATTGCACTAATCCTTCTTGTCCGTGTCCTAAAATAGCAGGTCAAATGTACCCAATGTCAGCTGCATCTTATAGCAATAGTTACGCTACGCTACCTACGCATAAGTTATCATCTGTATCATCTCCTTTGCGACAATCATATAATAACCTAGCTGGTCCCCCATACACTCATAACCCTTATTATATACCTTATACAACTGATGAAAAAGAATACGCCATGAGTATGAGATAGCCATCAATTTAACGGCCAATATCAATTACAAAAGAATTTAATTATATGTAAATAAACATAGTCAAGAATTGAGGTGATCACAAAAAATCAAAACAATATATTTATTGTTGTTATCTAATGACAGTTTTGTTTTTATCCCTATTATCTTGCCATTTCATTAATTTATATTATGAAAAACATTTATATCGCATACTAAATAAAATATTTACATGATACCTTAGTACCTAAATATTATAAGATTTTCTGAGAAATGTAACATAATTATTTTTAGTTAGTTTTGTTTATAAGCCTTAACCGTTGAAATTTTTCTTTTTGATAAGCATCTATGTACATCAGTGAACTTATTGCTCAATAGGTATAGAACCTTCATTTTTTTTCTTTAAATATTAAAACTAAATATTAACTCATACAATTATTTTGAATTAAATTTAAAAAAAATTATTTTGATACTTTTTCATTTTTGTTAGATAATTTATAAATAAATGAATATTTTGTAAGTAAAAAACATCATTGTCCAAGATTACATATCATTACTGATAGTTTGTTATACATTTCAAAGGACTGTTGTATATTTTTATTAATTAAATTATTAATTCAAAAGCTCCTTGGAAAAATATATTATATATTTGTTGTTTAAATAATATAAGTGTATACCATAAATTTACAATTTATAAATGTTTAATTTTTTTATCAAATATATTAATAATATTATATTAAATCTAAAGATATATTATATTGTAAATAAAAAATTTAATTATAATAATAAAATAACAATGAGCAATTATATATGATATTGTATCATTTATTTATTTACCTACAAATAAAACAAACAAAATATTATTTAATATATTGCTATATAATAAAACACATAAGCGAGGATGAATATATTGATATACTGTGATTTATTGTTCTGGTAGTTGAGGATGAGGTGCATAATTAATTACTTGTGATAATGATGATTCTGAAGGTACATACATTTGATTATAATTGGATAAATTTTGTGACATTTGGTATTGTGGTTGATCATGCATTGAAGGTCCAATATTATGACCAGGAATAATATGTCCTGGATTGATAGGATATTGAGAACCAGATATAAAGTGTTCAACAGGCATTTGTGGATAATTTGCTATCATTCCATTATACATTTGCATATGGGCTGGTGGAATCATATGCTGTGGTGACATTGGATTTGGGATATGGTTTTCTTGATGTTTAGGCCCATAATTTGCTGGTGGTTCTTTCATAAAAATATTGTATAATTTAACAGCTTCCAAAAGCTCAGTACATAGTTGAGTAAGCTGGGAATGTTTTTTATCTAATTGTTCCAACTGTGCTTCTATCATTGGTGACATAGCATTTACTTGTGCTTCTAAAATAGACATTTCTTCTGTGTCTGTACTGTCATCTTCAGGATTTGCTTCACGTAATAATTGAAATAAACGATCAATTTTACTTTCATCTATTTCTACTGATTTGTAATCTTCAGCAGAATGTTTAACTTTAGACTTCCTTGTGTTAGATTTTTCAACAACTTCTTTAGATATTGATAAATCTGTGGTTACAAAATTTGCAGGAAACAGCCCTTCAGAGTGTTTATCTGTAAATCCTTTCCACCAATTAGGATCCGATGAGTCAACAACATATATAATATCATCTGATGAGAATGATAATTCATTGTCTTCAGCAGCTTCAAAATCATATAAAGCTTTAACTTTTTTCAAATTTGCTCGTCGTTCAATATTATCACTAGCAGGTTTTTTCTGTGTAGAATGTTCTGTTTCACGAAGACTAAGTTCAATTGCTTTAGCAATATCATCAACTTCTTGTAAAGTTACTAAATCTTTAGACTTTGAAGAGTTAGAATTATTATTATCTGAAATAACTGAAAAGTCTATACCTTCTTGTTTTAATTTGCTGTACAGTGAAGGAATAAGATTTAATTGAGGATCATTTTTAAACTCATTTTCAGCCCATTTTTTAAGGATTGCCTTTAATCTATCAGCCACTTTTTGTTGTAAATTTTTAGCTAATAACTTCCGAAACTCTTGTTCAAAGTTTCTAGAAGCCACTTCAAGTAAAAAATTTTTACCACAGTTATTCACACAAGCATCTAACAAAGTAATAGCTTGAAGAACTACATGTGGATCTTGATTATTCAGTCGTTTAATTATTGATTTAAAGCAATCTTTTGAATTAACAGATGATCCACCTACTTTATCACATATTTCCATTATTAGAGCCCAGTCATCTGTTGTACTGGTGCCACTAGTTGCTTTTTCTACATCAGCGTCAAATGAAGAAGATAACAAAAATGATCCCATTTTGAGATGCTCTGAAAAAACAGCCATGAAAAGATGTTTAAATATTGACTAAAAATTAAAAAAAATTTTAAATGTTGTATTTAATAAATTACACTATACTAAATAATTTTGTAAGTTGAATTAAAAAATGGAATATTTTATTTATACAGATACAGATACAATTATTGTATAAAATTATATGATAAGTAATTAAATTGATAATACGACAGTAATATAGTTATATTTTTTACTTCAATTATAAGCACTCATCATTCAAACAGCAATTATTTTCATGAATAAAATTCCATATCTATAACCAATACATGATATGTATCTTTTTCTAATGAGCATAAGCCAATGTTTGATACCATTAATAATACCTAATACTATATTATAATCTACTCTATTAACTGGCCATTTTTAATTTTTTTTTAACATTTCTGGTGATTTTTTAGAAATTTTATTTTGTTTAAATAAAATAAAAATATTTACTTTCTATACTCTAATAGTCCTAAGGTCTAACAATTTTTTATAACAGAAAGTAACAAAAAATATTCAATTAATCAAAAGTTATAGGATTTGTCAAAACATGATTGAACACTATATATATTTATAATATTTTGTAGCTAAATTGTATAATCTAGAATCCAAATTATAATAACAAACATAACATTATTCTGTTAATAATGTTTTTTACCAAAAAAATTTTAAAATCTTGACATAAAATAAAAAAAAATTCTTCTTAGTCTAAACAATAAACAATAATTCATTTATTATACAAAATCTATTATAGTATCAAGTAGATATTTAGAATTTTACTATAAAGAAAGATCAAAATAAATTTAATAAAAAATACACTAATATTTTAGATGGATAATATATTTTTTTAAATATTCACAAAAAAAAATTAAAAGAAAGTAGATAATTGCATTTAAGAGTTTTCAAAGAATATTGAAACACAACGCTTTGAAAAAAGTAAAATTCAAGTATTACTAAATGAATCTTACTTTAAAATAAAAATTTTAGGGTGAATAAAACTAATTATTCAAATTCGTATATATTATCTGACCTCAACCATTTACTTACTGTAGTACTTCATAGTCTAAACAAAGATTAAGTTTGCTAAAATAATTTGAAAAACATAAACTAAAAATATTGAAAAAAAAATGTCTAAATAATACAAACAGTCCTTACGTATTGTACTCTTGAAACTGAAAGTCTAAAAACACTGTTCTGACGTAGCTTGATAGAGTTCACACAAATATAAAAAACTAATTTCAAGTACTCAAAATAACATTAAAATGATTTAGTTTTCTGTTGAGTGTTTATTTATTCATTGAAATAGTCACTCGATAATAATTTAACATAAGCAATCTTGAAGTATAACAAAGACTTCAAGATTTTATAAATAAAATTTTTGAGAATATGATAACAATTTTATAAATTATAATACTGAGGATGATATAACAAGTTCCTAGTGGTATAAACCAGGTAACTACTTTAATATTATCTTGGTACTCAATATTTATAACCTAAAAAAATATAAAAGTTAAAAAATTATTGTTTATTTTAGTAGCCGAATTATCAGTTACAAGAAATTTTTTATTTGACAAGTTGAAGAATGAATTTAGATTATAAATCATAGATCACAGTGAAAACATTAAGTAAATAATATATAGGAATATTTTAAAATAATTATTAGCTAGTCCTAAATATGCCGGAAGGAGTTGATGAAGTGCCTACTATTGGCATTATTTATCCGCCTCCAGAAGTAAGAAGTATCCTTTATAAAATATTTAATTAATAATAATATCTTATTTATTTTTTATAATTTGAGTACTAATTCAATTTATTTGTATTTTTTTCTTGACGTGAAACACAATAAATTGTAATATCATGTTTTAATTTTCCGTTTTTGGTTAAAATTTTTATTAAATTATTTAAAGTATAAAGCTTAAAATAGGTAATTAAAAAAAATACTTAACTTCAAAAGCCACATTAATTTTAGTAAGAAACTTAGTATACATTTCGAAAACATCAGACCTACACAAATAGTTTAGTTCTAAAACACATTTCAGTATTACTAAATGTAATTTTATGATTATATATATTTTGTTCATTTTATTTGAGAGTACTATTTTCTATGAAACTGGTTCCTTAATATTAAATTTAGATATTGTCGATAAAACTGCTAGTTTTGTAGCCAGAAATGGACCTGAATTTGAATCACGTATTAGACAAAATGAATTGGGAAATCCTAAATTTAACTTCCTCACTCAAGGAGATCCATATCATGCTTATTATTTGCATAAAGTTAAAGACCTCAAAGAAAAAGCCGGTAATATACTACATTTTAAAAATCATACTGAATATAATAGTTATGTTGTTAAATTTTTTAGCACAAGAACCCACATTACCTCCAAAAGAAACTAAAAGTGTGTCAACAGCTACCCAATTAAAACAACAAGAAATTCTAAAGCAAGTTCAAGAAGCAGTATTTATACCAAAAGATCCACCAGAAGAATTTGAATTTATTGCAGATCCTCCATCAATATCAGCACTTGATTTGTATTTAAACCTATTTTATTAAATGTTATATACTTTTAATTTAATAAATTATTTTAGAGATATAGTTAAACTCACAGCATTGTTTGTTGCTCGTAATGGCAGACAATTTCTTACAAATCTAATGGCTAGAGAACAGCGAAACTTCCAGTTTGATTTTTTACGTCCTCAACATTCACTTTTCCAATATTTTACTAAACTTCTAGAACAGTATACTAAAATTTTGATGCCTCCTAAAGATTTAATGAAAAAATTAAAAGATGAAAGTGAAGACAGACAGAAAATTTTAAATAATGTTAAATACCGCTCTGAATGGCAAAAACATCAAGATGCTCTACGTAGAAAAGAAGAACAGTTAATTGAAAAAGAAAGATGTAAGTAAATGAATACTTAATAATGTTCAATTTAGTAATTAGTTTGTTTTTAGTGGCATATGCTCAAATTGATTGGCATGATTTTGTTGTTGTCGAAACTGTTGACTTTCAATATGGTGAAATTGGAAACTTTCCTCCACCAACTACTCCAGATCAAGTGGGAGTACGGACCTTAATGCAAGAACGTGTAGACAATGGTGAAACAGGAATTGAATTAAGTGATGCTGAAGATAACATGCAAGTTGATAGTGACGATGAAATGGAAAATCGAATAGGAAGTAGAGCTTATGCACCAGAAAGTGAACTCCGAGTACCCGGTGAAGAGAAACCTAGCAGAGATAATAATCAAGTAAAATATATAAAAAAAAATTAATAATCACATTATTAATTAATCTATATTGTCTCTATTGAAATTTCTCAAAAATTGATGTATGATGTTATTTCTTTAGCCACACACTATACTTTGGTTTGAAAATGTATTGATTCTGAACTATGGTTGTCCAATTAGCTTTAAATTTTTGAGTTATTAGTTAAAATACTTTACCAAAGCTTGTTATATTCAATACACTTTTATATATCCTTGAATTATTTTTAATTATGTACAAATTTAAATTGGAATATATTTATAGTTCAATGGGTAACCCTTTTTATAGATAAAAATAAATACATGTCAAGTGAAAAACACACTTAAATTAGCAATAAAAGTAGTTGGATCTTTTTCCTATTTCTTTTCTTAATAAAAAAGAAAAATATCAATCTATGGTACTGATAATTTTAATGATTTACCTATACTTATAAAAGTAAACATTCAAATAACAAATTTAATTTGCTATTCTATTATTTTGTACAATTAATATTAGCCGACTTTGTGATTTGGTTCATCTTATGATAAATTTTATTTAAAAATTCACTGAATGTTTTTATTTTGGTATGGTGCTAAAAATAAAATCTCTTAACTGGTAACTTTTATTATTTATTTGCAGCACTTGATTATTTCCCATAGATAGACATATTTTTTAACACTACTTAATTCATTAATTATTCCACTAGATACAAGATATGGATGAATCATCTAGTGATGAAGAAAGTACTTTACCTCCTGGTGTATCTAAGGAAGATGGACGTTCCAATCAATTGACTCAACCGCCTGTACCTGAAAAAGTTATTGTTAAGAAGGGGTACAATCCTAAACAAAGTAAGTACTCATTTAAAAGTTATAATAATATGTGTTTTATTATTACATATTGAAATTTTTATTTTAATAACAATTATAATTTTTAATTTCAAGTTGTTAGAGCACCAGTGAAAGCACCTCCAGAAGAATATTTAATATCTCCTATTACTGGTGAAAAAATACCTGCTAGTAAAGTACAAGAACATATGAGAATTGGATTATTAGATCCTCGGTGGGTTGAACAGAGAGATAAACATATTAGTGACAAAATGAATCAAGAATCTGTTTATGCACCTGGTAAATTTTATAATTTAGATACAATATTAAAATGTTTAAACTTAATATTATAAAAATTACTTATTTTTATCATTTTGTAATTAGGTACTGCTATTGAAGAAAGTTTAAAACAGTTGGCTGAACGCCGTACTGATATTTTTGGTGTTGGTGTAGAAGAAACTGCTATCGGTAAAAAAATTGGAGAAGAAGAAACTCGTAAAGATGATAAAGTATTACTTTTTTCTTTAATTTAAAAATAAAAAATTATTAATGTTTATCGGTATAGGCAACATGGGATGGTCATACATCTAGTGTTGAAGCTGCAACGAGAGCTGCTAGGGCTAACATAACTTTAGAAGATCAAATACATCAAATACATAAAGTTAAAGGATTAATTCATGATGATGAAAAAGAAAAGATTGGCCCTAAACCTGTCCAAGGCACAGTAACTATTTCACATCCACCAACTTCTCAAGCAGTTTCTATTCAAATGTCTATGGCTAACTCAATGCAAAATTCTATGATGCAACCACATCAACCAAGTATGATGCAAGCACAACCTATGATGCTTGTTCAACAACCGCAACAAATGATGGGTAAGTTACAATTTGATTAAACATAATAGATAAATAATTATTATTTTAGTTCCCCAAGCTCAGCCTTATTCAGTAATGCAACAACAAATGCCACCAAATCCATTTTTGGGGGCTGCCCGTGGAATGATGCAACAACAACCACCATTACCTACTGTATGTAAAACATAAGAACAGTATAAATCACATTTTTCATTTATTTGTTTACTAATTTTAGCTTGGCATGAAACATGGTTTAGAAATGATGGAAGATGAACCTCTCATGAAAAAACAGAAAACAGAAGAATCTTTAGAACCTGAATTACAGTTCATGATGAAATTCAATGTAAAATACCTAAACAAGAAATATTTTATATGCTTAATTATTAATAAATATTGTCAACATTTTTAGGGCCCTGTTATGTTCAATGTAACTACCCCAGTACTTACTGATAAACCAGAATGGAAATTAAATGGACAGCTATTAAACATAACATTACCACTACAAGAAACAATTTCAGTAATTAAATCTAAAATTCATGATTTAACTGGAATGCCTCCTGGTAAACAAAAATTACAATGTGATGTAAGTCAAATTTTATCATTTTAAATTCAAAATGTGATACTATATATAATTACAACATACTTAATATATTTTTAGGGATTGTTTTTTAAAGATTCTAATACACTAGCCTACTACAATATTGGACCAGGATCAACTATACACTTACAACTTAAAGAACGTGGTGGTCGTAAGAAGTAGTTTAAAAGTTGTAATTATTTAGTTCTATACATTCATAAGGTGTTTATCACTAGATTTTTTATTTAAAATTACAATAAAATAATATAAATTTCATTAACAATAACATTAAAATAATTGGTAACAAATAAAAATATTTTAATCACAACAAATTATTTTGTACCATTTGATAATATTTGTTTCATAATATTATTATATTGTACAACCATTGGTGTGTATGTCTGTAAACAAAACCAAATAAAAAAACATTTTAAATATACCATTTTTAATTTTGAACACTTTATTTTGATACATACTTCATATGCATCTTTGTGTGGTGAACATGCTAATTTTGCTGGTTTAACAGTGTTAACAACAGAATGGAAAAAGTCACCCCCACTATTTTGATTACGCATTATACCATGTTTAGCCTGATAAGCAGCACCCAGAACAGCAGAATTAGCTCCTTCCTAAACATAAAACATTTTTATAATGGGTTCAAATTAATATTTTAAATGAATAAAACCTGTGTATAAACAGGAGCATTAAATACATCAGATAGAATTTGAAGCAAAGTACTATTAGCAGAAGCACCTCCTGTAACTATAATCCTCGTTTCAGGGCCTACATAATTTAAAATTAAAATCAAAATATTCAAATATTATTAATTTATTTTTTGATTTTGTATAATTGATAAGTTATGAATTATTAGTAAATAAATATATCCAAACCAATTATGAATCCTAATTGTTCAGCGTGTGCTCTCTTAGCTATGAATTGACCTTCTACAAGTGCTTTGATTTCAATTTCACGACTAGGAAATTTCTCCATTTGAACACCATTTTTATCAAATTTATAATCACCTTGAACCCAAGGTAATATTTCTTGTTCATCGAAATATAAACCTATGTAGCCAAAATTTCCTTTTGGTGTTCTTTCCAATAAAGTATTGAACTCATCCCATGACCCATTAGCATAATGATTCCGTATTCTTTCACGAGTAAGTGATCCATTTTTAAAACTTAAAAATAAATATTTAATATCTTTATTTACTTAATTTTTTATAGTTATGATAATAACAAGAATATGACTTAATATTTCTAGGATTAACTCTGTTTCAACAACTATAAATTTATAAAAAAATAACTTACCATAGTAAAACCATATAAGCATCATTATTAATCGGACTAGCTAACACATGTCCTTCAGTTAAATTTTTTGGTTCACTTAATGATAAAAACAAGGTATCACTGGTTCCCATACTTATGGCTACATCATTTTTTCTTAGACAAAGACCAACCAAAGAAGCAGGATTGTCTCCAGTAAAGGATACTACTCTACATTTGGAATTGAATCCAAACCTTTCTACATAATAATTACTAATTTGGCCTAACTCAGTACCAGAAGGAATTGTTGATCCTAATCTTGATTCAAGATCTGATGCACAAGCCTAAATTATATAATAAAGTAAATTACAAAAAAATCTTACAAATAATGTTAGATAAGAGCATTATTTGTGGTAGGTAGAATAATCATTTACGGACCCGAAATACCATTTTTGAACTTAAGGTCTCTCTCCATTACTATCACCCCACCACCCACTATAAATACAGATACATCTGTATTATTTTTGCAAACAAAAAAATTGAAATAACGTTTCTAATAACTTACTTCCAAACATTTTTCAGACCACTTTTTGGTCTTTATATCCATTAAATTCATTCCTGATCCATCAGACCAATCAATAGGGGCATAAGCACCAAGAAATAGAGAACATGCAAAACTGCTCACCAGTGATATTCTCTAAATTAATAAAACAAAATTAATAGTTTTTTCAAAAGATAACATTAGCAAAACAAAAAAATAGCAATTAAAATCACAATCATAAAAGACGCTTTGATGTAAATCTGTAGAATTTAATTTTTAAAAAGAATTATTCTGCAGGCAAAAAGAACTCTTATTTTCTCATTTCAAACAAATTAAATTTGATGGTTTATAAGTATAATCTTCTTCTTTTTCCTTGCTTTAATTCCAACTACTTGAGGTTGGACAATAAGTATAATACATAAATAAATACTATTAAAGTAATTACATTTAGTATGAAATTGATATTTAATAATCTAATATAATAATTTTTAAGGATAAATTATAAAAAGTTGTTATATACATAGTAATTTTTTTAATAATAGCCACTCAAATTCTCTTAAAATAATAATTATATTTAGAAAATTCTTTATAGTGTTTCTTAATTTTATAAATATCTCCATTTAGTAATAATAAAGTTTTTTTTTTAAGTAATCCCTGTATTATTTTAAATGGCAACATACCTATTTAATTAGCTTATAAAATAAAAAATGATATAATTAAAAAAATGACAACTTTAAACCCATTATTTCGGATGTTATTAACATTTTTAAATATAGAGTGGAAGAAGAACACAGCAGAGTAATGCGTAATGATAAAAATAAAATAACACACACTTCACTTCCACTTTATATATTTTAAAGTAGTTATAACTTGAAATAATGTGTCAAAATTTGTCATCAACCAGTCAATTTTTTGATTGTATCATTTTTTATTTAAAAGTTAGTTAATTATAAATGTTTTAATTTAAAATAATAAAGTAGACACACTTTTAAGGTATATAGAATGACCTAAAAAAAAAATTTATCTTATCATAATTATTATTTTATGGGAAATCGAGTGGCTAATATTAAAAGAATTATCTTGTATACAACAACTTAATACAGCTCCTTCTTTTAAATATACTTATTGAATTAACATTAAAGCTGCAAAATATTTCACACTAACACTTAGATCTTTTTGTAAAAAAGGGGTACTTGACCCCACCCATCTATAAGATCGTTTGATATAAAATATAGACAAGTTAATAAAAAAAAATTATAACAACACGAAAAAAAGATATTTTGCATCAAAATAATATTTTATGTTTATATTCAGGCGCTATTTACATAGAAGATAAGTCGTCAGAACAATTTTTTTTTAACTTATAGTACATAACATAAGCCTTTTTTTTAACATATGTTTGAAGCTCGGAGTATTTTCAGAATATTTTTAAAACTTTTCAGTAACTCTGTATATAATTACCTCTGTGTTTTGATAAGCTCCTGGTCGATTTTCAGCTATTTTAGCAATTTGTGGTCCTGAAAACCTTTCATAAGCTTTTGACCCAGTTAGTTCAGCTAATTCCTTTAAAAAAATTTAATTAGTTCAACTTTTATTGATTCAATATGAAATGAAAGCCAGTGGAGAATTTAGAATATCAATGGCACGTGACAACCCATTAACAATGTTTTGCTAATATAAAAATGTTTGTTGAACTTTTTTCATTTTAATCACAATCAGTTCAAAATAAGTAACAACATTTTATGGTAACTTGTTAATTGAAAATTTTATTTGCGTATCTTCCTCTCACTGTTATAGATTTCTAAATACGCCACTGATAAAAGCCATTAAAATTAAATTTACTTGTGCTCCTCCCACAGATTTTTCAAGTTTTTTACATTGTTTTGTGGTGCTTGAGTCCATCCATACAGGTGAATTCACTATTGAAAAACATGATGCTAATTGAGTATGTAAAAATCCAGATGGATCTAAAGATTTTAAAGTTTTGTGAGAACCATTTGTCCAGTAAACTGTACCGTGTTGCTACACAAAATATTGTCGAACTCAATAGATTCCTTCGTGTTATTTACTTGATCAGTTAATTGTTAATAAATAAGTCTTGGTCAATCGATTTTTAATTAAAAATAAAATAATTTACCTGTCCCGATCCTGAAATGGCGGCAACTGTATTGAGATCTGCTCCACATACTTGCAGTTTATCAAGGAGTACGTCCAAAGCTTTGACCCACATAACTGTAGGAGCAGTCACTTCCCTGGGATTTTCTTTATCTCTAAGAACACCTCCATGAGTATGAAATTCTTGAAGTTCCAAATCAAAATGAACAGAAGCTTCAAATAGTTTGTTCAAATTTTCATCGACAATTACTCCTTTAAGCTTTAAAAAAAAATTATGATGAATATAGTTCTTTATAAATAAGTTTATATTAATATAATGTATCGTATATCACATTTTAGAAAAATCAAAGTAACCCATTAAATTGTTTACTTCAATACATTATACAAATATAATTTGAAATAAACGACTCAAGTCCCTTACTAAAATGTATTAAAATTAACCAGAATCAGTCGTATTTAAAAATTTTTAATGGAAGGGATGGTCCATATAACTTTAGAACGTATAATACAAGGGGATATTCAACCTTCCACTACCGCTGAAAGGGAGTTTGGACCCCAAAACCCTCCCGTGGATACGTAATTGATCAAAATATCTTAAGATATATTAACCTAATTTACGTTATTATAGTAGCTTAATAGGAAATTTATAATTTGGGAATTTTTTGAATGCTATTATAATCATCTAATTATTTTTTTGTCTAACTCTTCTTTTAATTTTTTTGCTACCATTTAAATGTATCTACATATACAAATTGAATATATGTAAGAAAATTTCGTAAAAACTTAATAATTTTTAGTTCGTTACTGAAATTTTATAGTTTCTACCCAAGTATTGTTTACTTTAAATTAGATAATTTAATTAATTTCTTGTTTAATTACAAATGAACTTATGTCCAAAAAAATCTAGTTATATGCTGATTTGTAAAGAAAAAGCTAAATTACAAAAAAAATATTTTTTGGGCAGTATAAAGTAAAACTAACTGGTATAATAATATAATTATTTTAATGCAGTCGTCAGAAAAAACGTTTATTAAAACCAAATCTAGCTAAATTAAATTTTTAATGAATTGCAATTTTTTTAGTACTTTATGGGATTGACCCAACAATATAGACAAGAATAATAATTATCAGAGATCAGACTAATCACATAAACAAATATTATCCATTAAAAAGATAATTAGAAAAGCATATTATGGGAAAAAAACTAAAGGGTTTTGCTTGTTAACAGTATTATTACATTGGTTAATTAAAAAAATATTAGGTATATTTATTGATTTAATTACATAAATATATACAAGTTATGTATAAAAAGTATTTTTAAATTAATCAGTAGATAATTTAATAAAATAATAATAATAACATTGGCTTGATTGTATTTAGTACGTATTGAAGTATTGTCATAGTTAAATTGTAATTATTTCATAAAATCAATTATTATTAGTTTAAACATAAAGAATAAATTGATTTTTGAAATATTTTTTTTACTATTCATTTAATATGAGCTTAAAATCATTTTGCTATCTGTACACAAATTTTACCAAATATTCTCGGTTAGAATAAAGTTAGACGCTAACAGTATTTATGAATACGTCAAATACAAATCATAAAAAGTCAACAGCAAAATACTGCTCTTATTTTATAGATCAGTAACAAATAATAACCACTGAGAACCGTTAATATGTAAACCGCACTTATTAATTATTAATGTAGAATTTAAAAAACTAACAGCATAAATAACAACTACTGTTTAAAAAACAGAATTACATATTGAGTGATAATTATTTTTAAATTTAAAAGTAAATGAATGTTATGTTTAAATATGTTTCATTATTTACTTTATTAAAAATTATATTAATAATAAAAATGAATAATTATTTTGATGATCAAAATGTATTTTTTAACGTATCAAAAAACGTACACTTTTAATATATTATATTGTAAACGAAATTTTTTAATAATCAATAATTGGATAAAATTATGTTTAAAACACATGTGAATTATTATAATGGTTATTATAATATTTATATTTAATAGAATACGCTAAAAGGACTAAAAGGGCTAGTCTCTCTATTAGTCGTATTATACTTAATAATTACCAATAACACTGTACAGTAGCGTTTTCAGATTTTTTTAATAAAGGGGTCCTAGTAAAAAATCTACAAAATTTTATATTTTAAACCTTTTTTTTGCTCATCATTTCATTTTAGAAATGATTATTGTTGTCAATAGGAATAGCATGATCCCCTTTCCTCGGCTGTACCAATGACACTGTTTATTAAACAGTGTATAACTTTAGCGCTAGTAGTAGTAAGTAATGAACAAAAAAACATGACTAAATCCTTTTTGAAAAATGTTACATACAAGTGTATAAAATTAAAAGTATTGTGTCATGCCACACTACTTTTATTATTTGTTTTACAAAAACTAAGTCGCATCGATCGATATGAAATTAAATCTACCATACTATAAATGCGTTAATTGTATAGAAATAATGCAATTAAATCTAAACATCCATTTTTCAATAAATAAATGGTGTATTTATGTCGTAATAAGAATACTGTAACCGTAATATTAGAGAATACTAAGTAAAAATAACGAAACAAATATGTAATTACAAAAAAAAAAAGAGAGAGAGAGAGTCAGCAACTTATAGTTTTATAAAAGTTTTTATGATACATTTTTCATTTAAAATTTAATATACAAACTTAAGCAAAACTATACAATTTAACAAGACAATAATGAGCGTAATTTCAACAAAATTTTTAGGGGTGGTTATTATTTAATTTCCCTCTCTTTTAAATTATTTTTGTATAAAAATACGTAATTATTTTGAAAATTGGGACAATGAAGACAATTTAATTTGACTAAAAGTAATGACACATTTAATTTTAAATTTGTGACACGTTCTTAGCTCTAAATAAAATCAATTGAATAAATAGCACAATATTTAGGTATGTTATAGAATATTTTAAATATTAACAAAGATACAAAGTGAAGTATGATAAATTAAACCTATACTTAATTACTATAAAATCATACGTATAATAATTTTTGATTATAATTGTAATATTTTAAGTATTCAAATTATAAAAGGTAATTGTTTAATTAAAAATTCAAAATGCTACTATTCAATCTTAGGGACAATGGATGTATGGTTAAATGATTTTTATTTTTAATACTTTAAATTGGAAATTTTTTAAATTATGAAATTAAAATAAATAATAGAGATTTTTAACAGTAAAATAAGATTCAAGCAAACCATTTTCCCAACCAATAATTGTTATCAATCCCCTACCTGCTGGGTACTTAAGTCTAAGCCGAGATATGTGTTGGGCATATCAATCGCCGAAAACAGTTCCTGATGTTGTTCGCCCATCGCAGTAGTTACTTATTTGATTATTGTCTGACCGCAACAACTAACATGAACATACAGTCGTTTGTGGGTATAAGTTAAATCACCAGTACGTATTCGCACAATTAGTTATCGAATAGCTCTTATCTAAGGTCACAAACGATAAATTAATGAGATAGTAATAGTAATTAGAAAACCGTTATATAGTAGAATTTTAATGGAAGAACGGAAAGTACACTAACAAGCGTTACAGACGAATATTGTTTCAAGTTCTAATACTTAAACAATAATAGAAATAATTAGGCGAGAATATTGATCATTATGTTTTTCATAGTCTCGGTAGTGATGGCAAACACGAATAGTGACCCAATACCCACACTAAAATATAAAACGTACTTATTCGTTGCATTATGAACCGGTTGTTGTTTAATGTTGTTGATGTCGTTGGCGAACAAACGTGAGCGCGCATGTGTCAGCATTTCGGAAGTATAATAAAATACTATTGTGAATTGTAGTGTAGCTATCTATGCTGCTGTTTGTTACAGCCCAAACCGCCTTCGCTAACCCAAAGAACCGTGACGTAACGACTGCTGAAACCGCGGCATCTCTACACGGTCGAAGGATTTTTTTAAAAATCTAACGTCAACAATAAATGTTTTTTTTAATACTGACGTTCCTGACGTACAATAAAATAGAAGTCACGGTCAGACAAATCTAAACTGTCAATAAAGGATCGAATACATAAATGAAACCAACATATGTTACTGAAACACATAAGCACAACTAGAATGAAATTTTGAGAATGCTACATGTTTTACCTATCTTAATTATACGTTTCAATAATAATAAACATAATTAAAAAAAAAAATTAACAAAAGAAGAGAGTATAGGTATAGGCTACCGATGAAATCTTGGTAGGTCTTTTTAATTTCTCAAAATGACATTTTACTCAACTCAAAATTAACAAATTCATTGATAACTTAACCAATTTTTATTTTAACATTTTATTTGTTTATATATTTTGTTATAAATATAAAAAATTCAACATATTCTTGTTATAAACAAAAGTATAAGTTTTAAAAGTTAAAAAATTAAATGTTTTGCTTAATTATTTCTTCAATAGATAACTTGGGATTTATATCATTTTCGTCTTAATCATTATTACTATAATAGTCATAGTTTAGACAAAGATTTAACGTCTAGGCGCACAATTCTTATAATAAAATTTTATTTTAATGATCAAAGTTAAAACTTTTTCAACAAAATTAACAAATAATCAAAATTAATACAATTATTTTCTATACGATGAAACTTATTGTCAATAGATGCAACTAGTGAGAGCTTTGGAAGCTTAGTTTTCTTCCAAAATTATATCCATTTATTGTTACATAAAATTATTTTCGGGATAAGAGGAAAATTTAATTGGCAAACTTAAAAATTTTATTCTGATTGTGCTAACGCCTGCTGACAAAGTCAATGAAGCCGCCACTTATAATTATAATATTTCTTTAATTATTTGTTAAATTTTCCAAAAATTGATCTTTTGTCACAATTGTTTTATCTCAATTGAAGTATACTTATTTGAAATAACAAAATATGCTCAATAGTTATTTTCATTGAATATATTGATTAGAGTTGAATCAATCTTATCTACAATTAAATCGTGATTATAAAGACTTCGATTTTTTAATACACAACTTAAAATACATAATATATAAATCAATTCTAATAAATTAATAAATTAATTTTCTAACTGTCAACTTAAGTTAGTTTATTATAAAAATGTAGAATTTTATAGTAAATATATAATATAAAATACTAATACGTTGTTTTATTTTTAATAATTATATTTTGTTATGATATAGTAAAATAAGAATAATTTCGATAGTTACTTAATTACTAATACTTCATTACTACTGTAGAAGTTTAAATTACCAGAGACGTAGACAGAATTTTATTTCAGAAAAGGGGGAGAGGTCGAACCCTATAAACTTCTTGAATTCATACCTATACTTTAAAATTTCAATAAGATATTATTTCATTAAGAATATAAAAAACAATGTTAAGCTTTTATTATCATAATAATATTTTTTTGGTGATTTTTTCCTACACTGTAGGATAACACGACTTAGGACCAACTTCGTCTTATTAGTCTTCTGTATTTTCCACTGGTAGTGTCCAAATCAACTCATAAATTGCTTAAAAATTATAACAACATACGCCTTAAAAAATTTTCAAACAAATATTTTACTAAATTATTAGGTAAAATCATAATAATTTTAGAAACAAATATTTTAAAATCAGGATTACTAATTGTAGAAAGTATTTTATGATTAAAGCACTCAAGACAAATTATTTTTTGCAATGGCATAAATGAAATTGAAATTCTACTGAAAATAAAACATTTATTGAGAAATAATAAGTTAGACCATTTTTTTAAGTTAGACGTCTAATTAACGAACGATAAAAAGATAACGTAGTCTGATAAGAAACTAGTAAAAAATTACATGATAAATTATTACTAAGTTAGTTACTTTTCTTTGCAATGACGAGGGAATGACCTGAACTCTAGCCAAACATTGAAAGGATTTTATTTATTGAATTTTTTTGATATATTAATACTATAATAATGAAATCAACCAAAGCAACTTGTATGCAAATGTGCCCTATTGAAGAAATAAACATGTAATTAAGAATAACGTGATCGAGTAAACCCTATTTTTCTCTAAAGTATTTTTATTTTAAAGTCGACAGAAACAGAATCTTGTTCACCGGTTAGAATGTACATCAACCAATAATTGTGATAAGAAAAAAATGGTTAAAAGTTTTTGTCGATCAGCAGCTGGTATTTCTATGAATAAACCTTCTCTTTTAAGACCACCACAAATTTTGATTGACACCATTACCTATTTAATAAAAGAGTATATGTTGTTTAATTAATATTCATTTTATAAAATTGATTTAATTAGTTATTTGAAATGTAATAATTTACTTTTATTAGAATACTTCCACAAAATGATGTTTCATTTATACAAATTTATGACTTCATTAATGATAGACTACAGAGCGTTCGACAAGATGCTACAATTCAACAAGTATCTGATATTGAATGGTTAATAATCTTACCTCCTATTGTACGATTTTATGCATATTCTGCTTATAGGTAATTAATAAAATTTGTATTTTACTACTTTAAGCCTCTTCCACATGATGCCACTACAATCATACCACTTTGGTAGTATTTCAAAATGGTGCAACATTTTATGGAACTACGCATCCAGGTAATTTAACAGCTATAACCACCACTACCAATTTAAATATTTTCTTAAACTAATTTGTATAACAACACACATTTTATATTGTTAATTTTATAGAATAATAGTGACATTGTGTGAAAGAAGCTAAATTACAATATTCTAAAGTAATTTTTTATTCAGATGTTATAAATATGATTTAAACCATTTTGATCCGTTTTTAAATAAAAAAAACTTTGATGAATGTATTTTGAAAATACTGAAAATACTAGTAAATGACAACAAGGAATCAAGTGTTGATAATCTGTGTTCTGAAATGGTTTCTCTATTAGTAGTTGCAAATTTAGGAAATTATCACATCTTACAACAAGTTTTGCCATTTATCACAAAAAAGTATGATAATATTTATTACAATATTTTTATTTATACATATTGTTGGCTTAAGCAAAAAATTTCAAGTACAAAATACATAATTTAAAAAAAGTTCATGTATATTTTAATCTCATATGATATTGAACTATTCATATTTTCAAATTTTATAATAAATTTATGTCCTAATTAAAAAATTTTAATTTTATTTGATGGTTACATAGACAGAATGTCAACAAAATTTTTGGAAGGCCTATTATTTTTAACTTTACCCTCTCTAAATTTCTTTATTTTTAATTAATGCAGTTTTTGTGCAATTTTGAATTTACATCTATAAATAGTAAAGTAAATTTGTGCTTCAGTTTGATCATTTATTTGTATATACATAAATCTTAATGTTTATAAAATTATCTATTTCAAAGAAAATATTTTTTCAAACATATACGATAAAAAGCAAAAATTTGATTATGTTTGAAAATATTTTTTATAATAAAACAAATTTTTTGTTGCTCTTGGTAAAAGTAAAGTTTTTTTTATAAGAGTAATCTATTATTTATTTTTTATAATCATAGTTGTTTTAACTGTATTGTATTATTATTATATTAACCTTTTTAATTTTCTATTAAATCTATTTTTTTAAATATGTTGATCAATAGTCACTTTCAAGTCTACAAAAATGTATGTAGACTGTTTACCACATTTTTTTTATAATCTAAATCATTTTTTTTTTTTTAGTATTCAAAAAAATTTTTAATTGAAATACTAATACTATTTTTATAATTTTATTATTTTCAGACATAATTTAATTCATAAAGCAGTTATGTTATCTCTAAACATTATGAATGGATATTTTGGAAAGATAACAAAATTTTTTGATCAATTTCCAATTTTACATCTATGTATAATTGCTGTACAATTACCAGGATTTAGACAGTAAAATAAACTTTTTATATCAATTAAATTAATGACTTAGTGCAAAAAAAAGTGAATTTTTGTCGATGTTCAGATGAGCAGTTTAGATACTTTTCCATTATCTTTTTTATGTAATTTAGTGATTTATATATTAATGTTTTCTTTCAGTTGTAGACATAATAAATTTTATTCATAGGTTTATACAATAACACAATTAAATCATTTTCGTTAATTTATATTTAACTATTTTTGCACTGAGCTATTGTAGTATATATTTTTAATTTTTTTTTTTTTTAGACAAATTTTAAAAGCTATTTCTATTAGCTACAATAGTAAAAATAATTATTTACCCATCAATTTTTTAAAAAAATTAATGCTTCATAATAATGAAGAAGAAACTAAAAATGAATGTCATCATTATGGTCTTAAAATTATTAATGATAAAGTTGAAGTAACTAAGACTCTTTTAAAAACTGATGTTAAAGAGGTAATGTTTAACATTTTTAAATTTCTTTTAATTTAATATAGTCGGTGTAACTGCACAAGTTTTTGGTAATCGTGTTTGATTTATCATAAATATTCATCTTAAGAAAAAAATTTTTTTTTTCTTAAATAATTTTTCAACCTTCTCTATTTTTCTTTTTTGGATGAGCCTACTTGTTAAGAAAATTATTTCCTACTTTTAAACATTATAAAAACTATAATATATTAAACATATAATATTGCCAATGACTTTGAATAAATTGTCAATTTTTGTACGAAATTTGTGGGCAAATAACTTACATCAATTTTAACCATACTAATAGAGATACCGTGATTTTTATGATAATTATTAATATCTAGTGCAATATTGAGAAAAATAGAAGTAGTATTCCATTTACTGTAACTCTTTTATTTAACTTAAAGCATAAAGATCAAAATTTAAAAAGTTTGCCACAGTATGTGTTACAATGATGTAAATTACTAGATGTGTGAAAAATACATTATTTTCATTAAATTGATTTTCAGGTACAATGTTTAAAGGAGCTGAAGTTTGATGAAAATATATGTAGTATAATTTTGAATGCTTAATTAGAGTTTGAACTTTAATTTTCTGTATTGAATTTTTTTATTAATAAATTATTTCTAAAAACCTGCACTTTTTTGATAATAATTTTACTTAAAATCCTCTATAACAATAGAACCTATATTATTTTGTTAGAAAAGATAAGGGATTTGTGTAGCATTAAATTCAACTTAAGGATCTAGATATTAAGCAGTGTTTGAAAAACATTATTTAAATGCTCATATTAATATTTGGTGAACAAAATTCACATATTTATGAATTTGAATAATTTTTGGGCTGATCACTTAATTATCAATAATATTATGTTTCCTACAAACTCATCACAAATTGGCATACTGATATTGTATAAAAAATAATTAACTAAAAAAATATACCAGCGATATATATTAAGATACTGTATGAGCTAAAGGCTCTGTTATCTAGCACTGATGAATGTTGATTTAATCACTTGAACTTTAAAAATATGGGGTTGGGTAATACAATACACAAAGTAATAGTCACATTATATGTTTATAATTATTTTCTTTGATTTATAATAGTTCCAAACAAAAATTTTCAATTTTTTAGTAAATGTTTCAAACACTTGTACTAAAGCAAAACATATCATATATGAGATATTGAATAATTCATATGTTATTAACATTTCCTAATTCAGTTGAAGATTTGAAAATATACTAGTATTTAAGTACTACTATATCTAATATATGACACCCCAAACAAAAAAATAATCATCAATTAACTAGTTCATAAATATCATTAACATATTTATAGTACTAAATTTATGCAAAAAATAATATTTTTAAGACAATAAAAATGTTATTAAAATAAAATAAATATAGACATGACCTACTTTTTACAGGTTTTTGTTTGTTGAAAAATGAATAATTTTTAAATAAACTAATACTATATGTCATTATTAAAAATTAAAGCTACTTTGTATAAATATCATTCCATACCCACAAAACTAAAATCCTAATTAATATACATTAGGATTAAAATAAACTTCATAAATGCATAAAGTTTCTTTATGTTAGGTTCCTGAATATTTAATTGTAATCACATTACCTGATAATAATTATACAAGGCATTTGCAATATGTTGCATAATTAGAATTTGTGCATACAAAAGTTTACATTAAAAATTTTCTTTACCTGGTTTAAACAAAAAACATTATAGTTTACTATTTAATTATTTTAATTCAAAAAATATACCTACCGATATAAAATATGGCAAAAAGTCAATAATTAGTATTGGTTTTGGTATCTCTTTTAAATGTTGTAAGAAAAAACTTTTGACATGATGTATTTTTAAGTAAAATTATAATCTTAAAAAGCAATGATAAAAACATTTTAATTTACTATTTTTAGATCACAAAATATTATTATATAACTTATTAAAAATTTCAATATATTTTTACAATTATAAGAAAGTAAAACTAATAAAACAGTTTACCAAAAAATTGTGTAACATATCTTAATTTATGAATTTCTAAACATATGTGAAAATATTTGTTTTAATTAAAATTTTATAGTTTAACACAACATTCAGTACAAGGATAAGATGGTAAATTTAGCTGATATTCGTCTTCTAGTTCTTTAGGAACAAAACGTCCCCCTAAATAATGATACTTTCCTTTAAAACTTTTAGCACAATCTTTGGGTGCAGTTAATGATATTAAAAGTTCTGGATTTATGCCACCGTCTTCAGGTATACCTTCTACACTCCAACCACTTGGAACATCAATACTACAAATAGGCTTGTTAGTATTTTTTAAAGCGTCTATGATTGGCACAAAATTTGGGCGTACTGGAGGCTTAAAACTAAACCCAAATAAAGCATCCACTAATAAATCATACTGATTAATATTAAAAGGGAAATCATTAGAAACTGCCACCTGAGACATGGTACACTGATTAACAAGGTTAAGATAGAGTGGTTTATGAGTACAAACTGGATAATATACTTCGGGATGATATCCAAAAAGTTTCATATGTCTAGCAGCTACTAAACCATCGCCACCATTATTACCTGGTCCACATAAAACTAAAACTTTATTGAAATTATCAGGAGGAAAACACTTGTACACAGCTGTTGCACAACTTAATCCAGCAAGTTCCATTAATTGATCCACACTAAATTTATATTTATTAAATAACTTTTGATCAATTTCAATAGCTTCGTCTTGTTTTAAATATTTTACCATTTTTACTAGACGAACAGGTACTTTTAAATAACTAGAATAACACTTAGTGAAGATGTAGGATGTATTTATCATTTAAAGTCATTAAAAATAAACTAAAAAGTATAAAAATAAAATTATAAATAAATATTTTAACTAATCATGTGAACATCATCATGTGAATATTAATATATCAATTAGAGATGTTAAGTTCGTGAACGAATAGTTCATTTGAACTATTCACTTAGATGAACTATTCTGAACTGTTTCAGTACCTGTAACTTAACAGTTCACAGTTCGAAAAAAATTGGTAGCAATGTATAAATGAAATAGTTCGCGAACTTCTTTAAAAATTCTCTGTGGTTCGTTGTTCGAAATATTGTAAATGGTTAATAGCTGTTTACAATTAAATAACAAATAAATTATATTGTTAAAATATTACACGGTTTTTAATTGTTTAACAATAAAATAAATTTATACTATGTACAAATATTAGATCAGATTTCTGATTTAACTTAGGACTACTGGTCAGTATATCTACCTTGAATTAGGTGATAATAACATGAGCCATGAGAGTATTGATAATAATTTTTTCTTAGTTTATGATGTTCAGATTAAGGGTTAGTTTACAACTTAATTGCCCATAAGTAGTGAACTACAACTGAACTGTGTACTGCTATACTAATAGTGATAAAATGAATAGTTCATTGCCAAACAATATCAGCATGATCAATAAAATTAGTGAACATAAGAATAGTTCATTTGAACTATTCACTTGAATGAACTATGAACTAATGAACTAAACTTTCCATCTCTAATATCAATTATGTTTAAAAGTACAATCAAATGAATTCATTATATGATATGATTCAAAATTAATCCACCTTGGGACAATCATACATTATCATTTATCAACAATTGCTTATAAAACTAGATAAACATATTTTCAAGTGTTACCAACATTCTTAAATAATCTTCAAAACAAAGTAAAAAATAATAATTTTGTTTTTTTAGTAAAATATTAATATATACTGTTTATTAATAGTATAATAATTATTTTGTTATTAAAATTATTATTAAATTTATTTTATTTGTGAAAAAATTATGTTGTTAAACAAAATTTTCATGAATTAATTATTTGTGAGAGTAAATTATGATGTATTATAATGCTTGTATTAATTTGTGTCTATATACCGATAAATTGTAACTAATGTATATTCAGAATTTTGTAATATCATTGAAAATTTAATGCCACAATATAAAAAAGTTTGACTACTTTTAATTGGAACTACATAAATTCTGACACGTTACCTACCCATAGGAGAAGATTCAAAATAGCAACTTTTTTACAAAACTTAACTTTTTCAACTTAACTTTTTAAAATGTTCCGGAAATACTGCATCTTTTAAACATATATCAAATTAATGTTTATGTATGTACTATAAAATAAAAATAAAAAATCTTATCTTCGACTTATTATATTACGTTTTATCTTCTATGTGCAAAAAGCAGTCGGAGTTAAACAAAAATTATGAGTTAATTTTGCTTTTGGAATAATCCACCAATATTTTTAAATTAAACACTATCTACAGATTTGCATCGAAGAATTTTTTATGACATTTATTTTAACCACTGTTAGATATCATCTATACTTGTCTCAACTATGCCACGTCCATACGACCCCACTGTGCTACCGTTTTATTATTGATTTTCCTTCTAATTTTGGTAATGAACCTAAGATTTTAATATTTGCTGATGATACAAAAATTTATATCATAGTATGCTCTTTGGATGATTATAAATTTTTACAAACTAATCTAAATTGATTTATTGAATGGAGTATGTTCAATTTTCTCCCTTTAAACATTAATAGCATATAATATATTTTGTTTGTAATCATTTATAATTAATATATTTCGAGTATTTAATTAAAAAGTGTCTTCAGTTAGAGACTTGGATATTAATTTTAGTTCTGATTTAACATTTACTTTTCATGTTAATTTTAATATTAATAAATATTTAAAAAGGCTTGGCTTTTTTTTAAATAGAACCATAGTAAAATTTAAAAATAAAAGTTGCATAAAATCTTTATATTGCTCTTTAGTTCTCTTATTTGGTCTCCTAATCACACAACCCATATTTCGAAATTTGAGAATGTTCAATTATATTTTTAAAAATACTAACTTTTAAAATGAAACTACCAATTTCCAGGGATACTTTAGTAGTGGACTTCATCGGTCCTGATACATGTGAAATCAGATGTAAATTAGCAGAAAGTATGTTCATTTACGACCTTATAAATTTTAATATTGATTACCCTCAACTACTATTTTAGGTTGGATTTCTTACCTCGGTTCATTTTACTAGAACTCAATTTTTATTTTATGTTCCTAAATTTAAAACCAAATTAGCAGTTGGATCTTTTTTTCCTGGTGCTTTGACACTAGCTAATTCAGTTTGTATGTACTATGATTTGTTCTATACGTCTCGTGATCGTTTTAAAAATAGTATATCAATCCTTAGATCTACTTTCAGTTCATAATTTTGTACTTATATTATAAAAGACTGTTATTATAAGTGTTCTCTTAAGGAAACACTCATTAAATTGAGAATAAGTGTAATTACAGTTTTGACTATTCAAAATTGAATAAAGTTGATCAAAGTTTTTTTTTTATAATATTGAGTACTAAATTTGTCTTATATAGTAAAAATATTATTTTTAATTAAAAAAATTGATATAACAAATTGAGCTATTATGAATTTTAAAATATAAAATAAGTAAATTTAAAATTTGTATGATTTAAAATTTCACTGAAATATTGAACACCTGTTAAAATATTTGTTTAATTAAAAATAATTTTTTTTTTGTTTTAATTAATTTTTTTTTTCTTTGACATCCATTTTCTCGCAGTATAAAAATCGTGAGATGGTTTTTTTAAATATTGTATTACATTTTATAAACTTTAATTTAGTATGAAATAAAATAGGGAAGTCTTTTCGGAAAATTTAAAAAATTGAATTCAAATAAAAAATTTTACATGCTTCTTTAATTTTTTTTNCTCGACCGCACTGTGCTACCGTTTTTTTTTAACTTGGCTATATATAAGTTGTTTATTGGATTTTTATCATAATGCATTCCAAAAGAATGCTTTTTAGCTTCATTATTGTGTACTAAATTTTAGCTACGATTATGGTTTTTGAAAAAAGTTGTACCAATTTTAAATTGCAGAAAAATGTTTTTAGAAAATATTAGGTTCATTGGAAAATAGTTTATTAAGATAATGTATGTTGTTATTTATAATTAAGTTTTATTTTTAAAGAGAATTTACAATTCCTTATATTTTCTAGCTTCATAATGATTGTTTACAGTATTTAATAGACAATATGTTCTAAATAAAGATATTTACTTTTATATTGTAAGTAATTTCTGAAGAAAATTCTCAAAAATTTCGACAGTATTAAATTTCTGGAAATTTTGCAACATACTTTGGTAATTATGTATTTAATATTGAAATTATCAGTGTATTTAACACTGAAATTCATTTTTTTTGTCAAATAAACAAGTTTGCGTTCGTTAAAAAATCAACGCGTTCATTAAAATTTTTTTTCATTTTTGTATAGCTTACCTGCAGTCTATATAATTATTCATAAAAATAAACGTTTCATTTCAGACAAATTTAATTCTTTAAAAAAATATGTAAAAGTCTTACCTTTAGTGGCGTCACAAGGTTGTTATATGAGGGCATATAGATAAAAAAAAAATTTCACTACCTTAAAATTAAAAATAAAATATTGTATATTCATTGTAAATATTTTTTTCTGGGGGAATCTATATATATGCGCAACTAGCTATGATGTTGGTGTGCTGCAGCACCCCCAGCTTTAAATAAGTACTCCTAGTCCTAATTTATTAAAATTATGTGAAAATAGCCCATCACTTGTTTGAAGGAAGATTTTTTTTGTAATTAACAATAAACATAAATAATAAACAATTTTTATTTATAAACGTTCTATTAAAAAAAAGACGAAAGATGTTCGTGTGGTGTACACCACGTTTGCATCGGTCTATCCAAAAACTGTTATATAACTAAATGTTTACAGTATAACAAATTTTTATTTGTTAAGGAGAATTTTTGAAATAATTGATTAGTTATTACACAAGTAAATTTAATTATATACTTGTCCCAGATGCAAAGAAAGGTCAAAAATTGAAAGCAACCTATTTTCAAATATATCAGAATGTTAAAAATTTAAAATTTTATACACAATTTTTCATTTTTGGTTCTGGGTATTAAAATTTATTTTTATTCAAACTATTCAATTGAATAACAAAAACGAATTTGGTATCATCCATTATATTTTAATTCTTATTTGATAAAGAAAGGTTTCATTATTAAACTATACAAAGTTATTTTTCATGATTTCATATACCAAAAACAACTTTTAATATCACTTATTTCACATATTCTTAATTGTGTTCGATTTTGCGATAAGTTGACCAAATAAAAGTCAATAATTTATTTGTTATTTTATACATTTTGGAAGAAATATATTTCTATAAAAATTAGCAATTAATTTCCTTAAAGAATAACCGAATAGATTAATTTTGTTTTAAAATATCAATCATCATATCCTTAGCCTCTACTTAACTATTTGAGATTGTCTCTATTTTACGATTTAACAGGTTAAAACGGTTGGTAAATCAGGTTAGATTTTACGCCGGTTGTTAACCTGACGTAACCTCATTATAGCTAAGGGAACTAGTATAGAGGTATGGTGCGAGTCACTGTTAAAGTTCCCGAATAGTGAACCCATTTAGGAACCAACAGCAAACAGCGTAGCTGAACATCAGCAATAAGTCGGCAGCTGATTGATCCATTGCACAACACCTCGACCTATTTTAAAGTGTTTCTATGATAGTGGTTTTAATCACTGTCAGATATCATCTATATTTGTCCCAACTATGCCACGTCCATACTGTGCCGCGACACCACTGTGCTAACGTTTTCTTTTTATTACTTTCATTATTCTCATTCATAATACATCGATATATATTATTATAAGCAAGTATTACTCACCCTAATATTTATTTCTTACTTTTGAGTTACTATAATTCGTAAGATTGTAGGTACTTATTCCATTTTAATTTATATTACAAATTTTATAATTTACAATATTATTAAGTATTGCGTACAAACCGTTATATGTTTACAAGGAAATGATTATAATACACAAAATATCAAATACCATAATTCAACTCTCTACCAATTAATATTTTATAATTTTTATTTTTATTTAAAAATTATGAAATAAAATTTAATTTATGATAGAATTAACTAGTTAATATGATAACACACAATAATATTTTTGATAACACTAATTTTATATTACTTATTCGAAAAAGCATGCATGTTTATGATAAGATACATAATTTTTAATATTATAAATGCCAACATTGATTGTTATAGATTAATGACAAGTATATTATTTATTCATTTATTAAATTTATAGACACTTAATTTTTAAATAATACTTAAAACTACCAAATATTTTTTTATTTATAACTTTATTTTTGGGAGACTCATAGGCATTTATTAGAATAACATTTTTGAGTTTAATATGTTCTCTAAAACTTATGATTTTTATTTGAAGAATAATAATAATGCGGCAATAACTATGCTATTTTTACGAATATTTTTTAGGTAATATAACATTTTTAATTATTATGAAAGAAGATATGAATATTTTTATACTTCTACGACAAGAGTAATATAATTGAGAAATGTCTAATAATAAAAATAATCATAACTGCTACAACACTCTCAATTTTTATTTTAAAGTAGTAATAATTTCAAAAATACTGAGTCGAAAGATGCTATAAAGTCATTTATTTTATTAATAAAACAACTTTCCAGCATTTAAAAATTTTAAGATTTCGTTTTTTTCAGTTAATATCTTCATATTGATATATATTCAATATAATAATCTATAGACCTAGATTCAACTTTAACTAATAATAAAGTTCGACATTTTATGAAAAAAGTTATTATAATCAATTTTATATTTTATTAAATTTTAAATAATCATATAGAGTTATACCAAACTATCAAATATCTATTATTAATTCGTAAATTTTGCATTACAAATTCTATGGACACTTTTTGTTTTCATTGTTTAATAATAGTTAGACTATTTGGTTAATGATATATATAAAAAGGAAAGAAAATGTAACATTATTTAAAATTTATATAAATTTCGTATAATTAAAGATTATTAAAATAGTTTTAACTATTCATTTATAATTTGAATGGAATAACTATCGATTTTTAGTAATCCTAAATGTATCTAATATAGATCAATAATTTAAAGTCAATTAATTAATAAAATTAATGCAAAAGCATGTTACATGTTTGCTCACTTAAAAAAAACATAAAATTTATAAATATATCTTAAATATCACAGTAATACTGTCAATTAAAAATTTAATTATTTTTAAATATCATGAAATAAATTTATATTGACATAATTTTTCTTTGGTTTGTATACATTCTGAAATATAAAGTAAATTAAATATTAATTTAAAACATTTGGTTTAAATGTTAAAAAATGAATTATACTTATAATATTCCATACATTATTTGATGTATATTCAATACATTGAGCCTTAATAGTTAAAAGAGTATAAAATATAAGGAGAAAATAAATATGACATTTTTTATTACTTTCTCCATAAATATATTATCCAGGCGAGGATTAATAGTGGACAGAGGAGCGAACGTGTCAGTGGCCACGAGCTTAAAGAGCCCATCACACATTTTACTAGCCTGTATTATTAGTGACATACAATTTTTTTTCTTGTTTATATTTAGTCTTTATTAAAATAATAACTTCCTCAACAATTATAAACAAATAGTTAAAAGTATAATAATAACAATACTATGTTATAATATAAGGTTTTTAATATACAAATTAAAAATTATTCGTTTTAATTTTAATTTTAAAGAATGGTAGAAGAGAAAAAAAATTAATTAGAGATTAAATGATAAAGCCGGAACTCCTTAGAAAAGATATGATGGAAATAACTATAATGAAAGTACCTAAATTAAGAATACTAGCTATGGAAGGTCGATTAATATTGTGGGCAGCTTAGAGGCTGAACAGTATTATTTTGCTGTTAATTAGGGCAAAACAATCAAAGAGAAGATGGTAAAAATCGCATAGAGCTTTATTATCATGTAGAGGACAGAAGGGAACAAAATTTAAGGAAAGATGGATGTATAGTAGGGAAGAAGATTATGGCCTAACCTAAGTCATAACCATAGAAATGTCCTTTCAAATTTGAAGAACTGTCTGCCTAAAGAAATGGAGAAAGTCAGAAGAGGGAATATTTTGGCTGGAAGGAGTTTTTTGTTAATCATTATTATGGTAATAATATTTTCTCTAGTGGGGGTCCCACCTGAAATACCACTTAGGTACTTTATAGGTCTTATTCCGGTCTTGTCTTCACCAAATAATTATGGGTGGTCATGGGTAATTTATTTACTACATCTTCCGTGAGAACACATATGTCTTAATGATACTTAAGACTTGTTGATTTCAATAAATAAATTCTGTTATTGTATAGAGATTGAAACCGTTTTCATAACGATAAGACTAAACGTTATAATTTCCAAAAAACAGTCGTAAAACGTAAAAAAAAAAGTGTAATGATTATTGAAAAATGTATAATAATGACAAACAATACGTAACTATAAACAAAATAAAATAAAAAACAACACTAAACGAAACTTATTGATAATTCATTATAACTTATAAGATACAGTGAATTTGGGGAAAATATAACTACAAGCAATTCAGTGTATCTCAAAAAAAACTATGCGAGGGAAATTTTCCCATGAGGTCAGTAACGGTATAATGCCTAATAAGATAAAAATTGACATTGTTTAAGTAAAAACGGAAAACAGAAATCCATAACTTTTTCATAGTTTAAAACATATAATGCAATACTAAAGTAACTTTTTAACAATTTTAACATAAAAACAAAATAAATAATTTTGATTTAAGCTCTGTTATTATGTGAAAATAAGTGGTGCCTCTGGAAACAGCAATCATAGTACATAACAAGCTCTCCATGGAAAACTTACAAATGAAAAATTCGCTGGCTAATTCTATTAACCACAAGTGGTAAAACAACCCTTTCAAGGTCAAGTTTGAAGTTTGCTTTAATTAATATTAAAGGCTTAATATTAGAAAAGAGATATTAATGTCTGAAGAGTTCAAGAACGTGGAATGTGACGTATTTTGTGTGGAACTAACGCACAGTAACTTACTAAATTACCATCAAAACAGACACAACGCAAAAGGAACGAATTTAGTATAAGAAAGGACACATCCAACATACGGGAGTGCTATATTTATACAATGGAAAATACATATCAAATCAATAGGTGGTATCAAAAATTAGGATGTGGAAGTATTAACAGTCGATATTGGATACTGTACAATAACTTCTATATAACTAGAACCTAAAACTACACAGTAAGGGACATACAGTTCGTAATTGGAGACTTCAATAGTCATAACACAGAAACCAACGATGGAAATTCGGTCGAAAAATTCGACCGAAATCATTTGTCCTTGATATATAAAACTCAACTTCTGGTGTTCTTTAATAGTAAACGCTATGGAAGAGGATATAATTCAGAATCATTTTCTAAGTGAAAAATTAGTAATCTAAAAACATAAATATGTTCTGACTTTAGTGTTGTAAGTTAGAAGTTTCATCGATCATAGAATATTTCTATCAAAAACTGAAATTTGATAAAACAAATGTATTTCAAAAATTACAAATTGTGAGAACAAATAAACATAAAGCTCAAAAGCTGTAAACATTTTTACTTTATTTTTATTATTATGACACTTAATTATTAAACTAATTTTATTGAAAAATTAAAAAATAAATTGCAAAATTTAATTAGTACTCAACAGAAAAAAAATTGAAATACGCAAAAATTAAATATATCATTGGCTTAAGTGTTAAAAACACATAAGTCTAATAATTTTTTTTTTAAACTCAGACAACTATACAAAAATAGACTTATAATATTAAAATAAAAATGTTTCCAAAATGTTGAATTTTACATACATTTTTTCTCATGTTTGCATGTTTGTCGATTATAATCGGTAAACATAGTATAGTTTAAAAAAAACTGATATTTTTTCATTCCTCACAAAATTACCTTGGTAGCAATTTCACAATTATGTAGTGTTGTAAAGTTTTCGGAGATGTAATACTGAGAAAATTTTTATAAGTGAAAATTCTCATATCTTATACGAGTGTCATATGTATATTTTTTAATGGCAACATTAATATTTAGCTAACTTATAAAATAGAAAACAATAAAATTTAATAAACGCTTGGTCTAACTTTTGAAACAGTATTCTGAAAGTTGTTAAAATACATACAAAAGTAAATCACAATTCTTTAAAATAAAATTTAAAAGTAATCAAAAAAAGAAAATAGTAAATTTAAAACTCTTAAATAAAAATTTCCAACTCACAAATTTACTCAGTATTAAATTTTTGAAAATTTCACAACACTAACTAATGCGCCAGTTGGCGTCCAGATGCCTATACCGAGATCACAAAATAGTCTTAACATGTGTCGTACTTACGTGGATGTTAGACCTAGAACCGCTACCATACAAAGGAGGTTTAATTTTATATATTCCTAATTGGCCTTTAATTAAGGCCAAATGGGATGAGTTTTACAAGCCATTAGATAATAGAATATTTAACCAATTTCTACTAAATATAAATTATTTCTCAAAAATGTTCAAAATACTATCAGGAAGACTATTCCAAGAGAATGTAACAAAACTATATTACATGATTAAGACAAGATATAATAAAAGACTTAGAAGATGCGAGAGAAAGAACACCTTTACATTATTACCAGTAACCTTGGCTTATAATAAATGAAAATACGGACAAAATAAAAACTGACACTAATAAAACAATGATAAAGAGGAAAACCTTAAAAATTCAATTACAATAGTTGAATTCCAAAGAGTATGACAGTATTATATGCAAGAACCTAGCAGAAATATGTGGAATTTGGACCAAAAACTAAACGTTGAATTTTGGCAATGTTTGATGATTGAATAAACATGGAAAGGGTCTCTAAGATATGACTAAAAGTAAAAATAATAACATTTCTCAAACCAGACAAAACTGGTTACGATACTAGTAAATTTTGATCAGAAAAGAGAGATGACAATTAAGAAATTTTTTAGAAACATTAACCGAATACTCGAATACGAAGCCATTTAAAACTAAATCCCTTTAAGACACAAGTGTGTGCTATTATCTTAGAAAGCTAAAAGCAAACAAAAATTGATCATCAACTGGCATTGGGTTAAAATAGATAATGTGCATGATCCTAAATACTTATTATTGAAACTTGATCATGCTTTAACATTTAAAGTACACTATGGGACACTGGGAAAAAGACTTACAATAACAAAAAATATATTCAAAAAGCTAGTAAATACAAAGTGGGGTACCTGCTTATAGATGATTCTAACGTCTGGTCAAGCCCTTTGTGTTGAAATTGCTCCTCCAGATATAATAAGAAAAGTAGAAAAATGATACAAAGAAAAAACAGACAAGTGATCATATTGTTTGGTATTTTGTCATTGTTTGGCTTATTCTGAATTATTAACCGACAGAGTCTAATTAATCATTTAATAGAGTTACGTAATCCATCACAAAACTGCTAACAGTGGTAAGATTTAAAAAACGAATAGAAACTAATAACTTAGTAAAAAAGTACAATATGGGGACAATCGGCAGAATCTTTTCCAACAGGATATGAGTTACCCTAATGCACACGGAAGACTAATACTGATCCACAGATTGGATCAGAAATACGAAGGACCAAAGCAAAAATGTATTAGTGAGAAGTAATCACTGACGCAGACTGTCAATTCAGGAATGTGCAAACATTGATTATCTGTTGGAGTGTCCATGTAACCAGTAAGAGGAGAGAGGAACGACTTTCAAAAAAAAAAAAACAATTTAATGATAATGCAATCAAAAATTGCTGATTTCTGGGAGAAGAAAAAAAATATAAAATGTAAATACCTCTTACTAACATACAAATAAGAAAATTATTATTATATATGTAAACTAATAAATAAAAGGTATAACCCGAGTAGTAGTGCTGTACAAATATTTCCATCCTAGTACCAATTTATTAAGAAAAACAAGAAATTTTATTAATTAAAACATTTAAATTTATAATGAGTATAGTTACCTTTAGTAGATTTTTCCCATCCTAAATATTCACCAGTTTTTCTATTTTCATTTAAAAGCCATTCGTATAATGGATTGAAATAATTAAGTAATGGCGTGGCATCCATGTTTCTTTGTCCAGTAAGTAATTCCATAGCATCAAACCATGGTTTAGATGAACCCATTTTTAACATTTCTCTAAACATAAAAATAAATCTCTGTTTTATTGATACATACAACTTAAAATTTAATAAACCTTCTCTTAATTAATAATTAATGAAAATATCAATATAAATTTTAATTTACTTTAAATTTAATCATATTTAATATTATTACTATAAACACACATGTATTTAGGCAGACTTTCGTCAACACTCAAACCAATTCAAGATGGTACAGCCTTTATATCAATAATAATAAAAGGAAAACAAAGGTACATTCTTTTAAAAACTACCTTGTTGTAAATTTAGATCGAAAATGTTTTATTGTAAAATACTTTAATTCTACCTTATATCATAAGTTAATCTATGTTTTCTTTATTCGGCATTAATTTCAACCAGTTCAATTCAACAGACTTAGACCAGTTAGAGGTAGCTAAAGTACTCTTTACCAAACCCTTATGGTTACACCATATATTTAGCTGTAAAAGTAGTCATAAGTAGTCTTACTTGAACGCATTACCAGCGTTGGTACTTTGGTAGATATCACACTCATGCAGTGGCTTACTCTTGGGGTCATTGGGATCAAATTCTCCAGCTTTTTCACATAACGCTTGGTGGAATTGGAATTGTATAATAAAGCTAACGAAATATCTGATATAAGGCACATTTCCTATAATATGGTACTTAGCACCCGGGTCAAAATCATCTTCTGTTCGAGTTACAGGTGGTTCGACTCCTTGATATTTCTCCCTAGTTATTATATAGTAATAGTATATTAAATTATAAAAGCATTATGTAGTAAAATAGATAAGATAGGTAATAGATAAGAGAATAAGAAATGAGACATCGGTATCTAAAAACCAGTTTGGATTTATGCCTGGTAAGTCAACAATGGAGTCAGTATTTTGCGTGAGGCAACTTATAGAAAAGTTTAGGGAAAAAAGAAAAAGCTTTGTATGGTATTTATAAATTTGGAGAAAGCGTATGATAGAGTACCGAGAGAGGTTCTAAAGTGGGCATTAATGAGAAAAGGAGTCCCGAAAAGGTACATTAATATAATAGAGGATATGTATTATGGCACTTGTACTAGGGTAAAAAGGGTGGGAGGAGTAACAGAAGATTTTCGGATAAGAGTAGGAGTGCACCAAGGTTCTACTTTAAGCCCTTACTTATTCTCTATAGCAGTGGTCGGCAACCTTTTTTAATTCTCGGGCCACATTTACAAATTAAAAAGAGTTCGCGGGCCAGATAAAAAAAAAAAATTTATAATTACATTATTTATTATGCAAAAAAATACTATCTAAAACTTAAAATAATAAAATGTATAAAATAAAAATTACAGTTTTTAATATAATTATAATATGAAAGTATGAATGTAATGTATTGGTAAAATGCTTAATGATATTCAATTAAATTAGTCGATTTAGAATTTAAAGCGGGCCGTATTCAATAGCCACGCGGGCCGGATACGGCCCGTGGGCCGCCGGTTGCCGACCACTGCTCTATAGTGATGGATGAAATTACTAGAGAAATACAAGGAGTATTTCCGTGGTGCATGTTGTTTGCTGACGATATAGTGTTAATAGGAGAAAGTAAGGAGGAAATTAACCAAAGGCTAGAGGTGTGGAGAACAGATCTTGAAAAAATGGGTTTAAAAATAAGTAGAAGTAAGGCAGAGTATATAGAGTACGAGTTGGACAAAGAAGAACATGAGGTAGATAAAATGAGGAGGTCAGTGACAATAGAAGAGGACGTGATTGGAGAGGTAGAGAGTTTTAAGTATTTATGGTCAGTTGTGCAAAAGAGTGTTGGTATTGACGAGTATGTAAGACACAGAATTAAGTGCGGGTGGTTGAAGTGGAGAGATGCGTCTGATGTCTTATGCCATAAAAGAATTTCAATGAGGCTGAAAGGTAAATTTTACAAGACTGTAATAAAGCCAGCTATAATGTATGGTTCAAAGTGATGGGCGGTTGATAAGAAAGTAGAGCAGAGAATGAGTGTAGCAGAGATGAGAATGCTTAGATGGATGAGTGGAGTGACTAGAAAAGGATAAGAATAAGGAACGAGCACATAAGAGGTAGTATAGGTGTAGCTTCAATCGTGGATATGATGAGAGAAAATAGACTTAGATTGTTTAGTCATGTTATGAGGAGAAAAGAATCGGAAGCTGTAAGAACAGCTGGAAGAAGAAGAAGATTATGCAGTAAAAAAAGTTTGATCGTAAACTTTAATACCTCAATTTCCACCAATCGCAGTTATAGCTATCTTCAGTCGTTTTTCCTTTAAATACGTCCCATCGCCACAAGTCCATTAAATAACCAAAAGGTAAGAATGCTATTTTTTGTAGCCCAATTTGGTATAGGTAATTGATATCAGCTTCCGGTGAACGACTAAATTTTGGTAATAAGCCAATTTTGTTTAAATGTTTTGTTGTTGAAACAGACAAAGCAATAGTATCACCAATCGCTTCATGGAAACCTATTCAATACCAATATTCATAATTAATTTTATTACTTATTTTATATATTTTTTCTGAATAAATTCATACTATCTTTAAACGGGGAAAAAATTATAATTCCATATTCAACAAATTTTACTCGCATCAAATTTACAATTTAAAGTTCGAATTAAAAATCGGAAACTTCAATAATTCATAAAATATGGAACCAAATCTATATGCCAGATTAAATCTATTAAGAGTCTTTTTTTTAGTAAACCAAATTTGAAATGCTTATTTAATAAATATTTCAAAAATAGTCAGCTGAAAAAATTAAAAAAATAGTCAGGTAATAGATCACCTTAGGTGTACTGACATATTTTAAATCATGTGTAAGAAGTCGTGAAAACGTTCTTTCAAATTCTTTAATTTGAAATAACAACTGTTTTTTATTGAAGATAGCAAAAAAAATATTATTTCGTGTTTACGTAAACATTACCTTCGTTCGCTCCTTCGCGGTAAATGAAGGGTTGATCTTTGTATTGCAAATAGTACTGAACGTGGCCCATTTCGTGATGAGCAGTAATGAGATCGTTAAACGTAACTGTAGTACATTGTTTGATTCTAAAGTCATTAGAATCGTAAAAGTCCCATGCAGATGCATGGCAAACTAATTGTCGATCGACTGGTTTTTCTAGGACAGAATTCGTCCAAAATGATTTTGGCATGGCACTCAAATTTAATGAAGTAAAAAAGTTCTCCGCTAATTTAAACATTTTTATTGGTGTATAATTCTAAAAAAAAAAAAAAAATGCGTCAATGCAGAGAAAGATTAGCCAATGGGAATGCTCTAAATAGTATAATATATTTAAAAGCGATAAAAACTATGTCTATTTTATACTTTCATATCAAATAAGTAATTTTAAGAATCTAAATCGTAATATTTTGGATGTATTTTATACATCTTATTTTTCTTGAAAATTTTTTAATGAGAATTATTTAGAACGAAAAGGAAACATTTGTTGCGTCCGATCTATTGACCTCTCAGTACGATCTTCAGCCAATGGTTAAACATTAAATGAATAAAAATACACTAGAGCATCCAAATTTTTAGCTATACAGATACCCACAGGAGTGAATTTACGAAGTCTCCCCAGGGTCATTTTGAGATGATACTATGAAATTCCGGTCGCAGGGAATAATACTGTAACATTTATCAAATGAATGAGCAGCTAAATTTATAATTATGGAGACAAAGCAATACTCGACCCAAATATTTGGCGTCGATATTACCGATACGACCAAATAGCGGAGTGGGAATAAATTAGTCTCCAATGGCATACGCCCTAGGGACCGGTCTAAAACAACAGCACCGTCGTACTGTTACAACGGCGGTGGTGGCTGTTTTGGTGTAAAATACGCAGAAGGTCCGCGGTATATTATTAACGCGGGATCTTCGGTTCAATCTACAGCTACTGAACAATAGTAAACTATTGTCAGGTGTCAGCGGCATACTTGTCGTGGCAGACACAAATCTGCAGACTATGGCTCACTGTCTTGCCTGTACCATTTACTGCGTTTTCATATTTATTTAAAAAAAAACTAAAGACATCCCATGTCAATATGTACCTAATAGTGGAACTTAAAATATTCGAACATATTATACAAACCTTGAGCAGTAGTGTAATTAGTAGGAAAAGTAAAGAGATACAAAATGAAATGTGTAGTATTACAGGAAGTAAGACTGGAAGATTCTGGCACAACAAAAATATCATAATTTACCATCATAAATGGAAGAAGCGAACGCAGTCACCTGCTAGCAACTTGTTTCGCTGTGCATGAATCAATCATACATCAAAGAATACACTAAAAGTCAGCAGGAATACAAAGCTTCCACGAAAACTCGAACGGTGCTCTAATGGTAAAAGACTAGTAAACCTATTAAACTAATAAATTAGATTGTGTGCAAGCGGAGCTTTTTCAAAAAAAAGTAAGATAAGAGACTATATAATGAATGTATAAGACTTATATAATCACTTATACTATAAGTTTTCCATATACAACAGAGAAACTTCTAGATGATTGGAAAGTGACTATGGAGTTACTATGGATTAACAAAGGTATTGAATTCACGAGCAATGTTAAGAGGAATGAAGACAGTTATATACATCTCTAATATGGCCAGTTATATTATACCTTGCCACTGAGAAAACAAATTCTCTGTTTTTGAAAAAAAAAAAGTTTTGCGGAGATTTATGGTTCAGTCAATGATAATTTAACTGAAGAGTAGAAAAGAAGAAAAAATACAGAGTTGGTAACATTATATAATGATTCGCACATATTAGAAATTATCAGAAGAAAAAAATTGCGAAGGGATGGGTATGCTTGTAGAAACCAAAATCCACTGTTACGAGCAGTAATGGAGCAGAATTCAGTAGGAAAAAGACCTTTGGGTATACTGCGAATACGATAGGAAGATGTTATAAAAAAAGTATGGAACGTTTAGAAGGAAGATCTAATTGGAAAAATCTAGCATTAGACAGAGGATGGAAACTGATTGTGAGACGGGATGGTTCTAAGGGTCCAATAAACCCAAAGAAGAAAAAGAAGAAGAAGCTATACAGATTGGAACAATCTAACCAACAACAATTATACATTTTTAATAATTAAATTTTTTTTAAAAATAACCAAACTAACTGGGTTTTTAGGACTATAATTTTCACTCCAGTATATCCCTCAAAATGTTATATAAATTGCGAATTGATCGGCTTTTTCCAATAAATTACCATTTTCCAACCTATATGTTTCCAAAATGGCCCCTAATAATTTNGACATATTAGAAATTATCAGAAGAAAAAAACTGCGAAGAGATGGGTATGCTTGTAGAAACCAAAATCCACTGTTACGAGCAGTAATGGAGCAGAATTCAGTAGGAAAAAGACCTTTGGGTATACTACGAATACGATAGGAAGATGTTATAAAAAAAGTATGGAACGTTTAGAAGGAAGATCTAATTGGAAAAATCTAGCATTAGACAGAGGATGGAAACTGATTGTGAGACGGGATGGTTCTAAGGGTCCAATAAACCCAAAGAAGAAAAAGAAGAAGAAGCTATACAGATTGGAACAATCTAACCAACAACAATTATACATTTTTAATAATTAAATTTTTTTTAAAAATAACCAAACTAACTGGGTTTTTAGGACCATAATTTTCACTCCAGTATATCCCTCAAAATGTTCATATAAATTGCGAATTGATCGGCTTTTTCCAATAAATTACCATTTTCCAACCTATATGTTTCCAAAATGGCCCCTAATAATTTTATGTTACAATTTTACAGGGAGTTTCGTGCTATGGTTTTAATTTTGATGTGTTTTTAATGCAAAGGTTTAAAATTCACCAAATAATTTTATTTTATCAATTTTTCAAATTAAGATTGTACTTTCAGAAACAACAATTGATCGTGTGGCCACATTAATGTAAAAATTCGATAAAATTAATATTAATAGTAATTGAATAACGTTTTTAAAATNCAACAACAATTATACATTTTTAATAATTAAATTTTTTTTAAAAATAACCAAACTAACTGGGTTTTTAGGACCATAATTTTCACTCCAGTATATCCCTCAAAATGTTCATATAAATTGCGAATTGATCGGCTTTTTCCAATAAATTACCATTTTCCAACCTATATGTTTCCAAAATGGCCCCTAATAATTTTATGTTACAATTTTACAGGGAGTTTCGTGCTATGGTTTTAATTTTGATGTGTTTTTAATGCAAAGGTTTAAAATTCACCAAATAATTTTATTTTATCGATTTTTCAAATTAAGATTGTACTTTCAGAAACAACAATTGATCGTGTGGCCACATTAATGTAAAAATTCGATAAAATTAATATTAATAGTAATTGAATAACGTTTTTAAAATTTTTATTTTTATTATTTAAAAATTATCAATTGAAATTATGTCGTAAAGTGAATCGTAAGAATTGGCATAAATAATTTTTAAAAATATTAATAAGATTTATGACTACCATTATATACTTAAAATGTATCATTGTTGTTGTAAAACTAAATCATTTTAGAAATATTGTCTTTAGCATACTAATGTAGACAATGCGAAATTGTATAAATAGTCCGTCTGTAACACTATTTAAATTAAATTCGTTGTATGATCTGAATATTAAAAATAGTATTGCCTTTTTTCTATTTAATAAATCTTACGCGATATGTTCAAATCGTTTTATTGTTTTTAAAAAAGCTTTTAATTTTATTAAGATTATTTATTTTAAATAAATGTAATGATTTTTATTAATTCAGAATGCACTAAAACCTACCTACCCTCTGCTTGTAGAAAAGTAAATTATTTCGCATAATCCAGTATTTTTAAAGTTAGGTATTAATAATTTTAAATAATTATGATGAAAATCATTAATGATCTTCTCCATACATTTTATTATTAAAAAAATATATAATTTTAAAGTAGTCTAAGTACGCATAAATTATTTAAAAAAAAATACAATGAAATGTTGATTGTATCAAAAGTAATAGTAGTTGTCAAATAGATCTAGTCCATCTGTATGCTATTTTAATTTTATTATCCTGGAAACCATTGTAATAGTTTTTTATTATATTTAGTCACTACTAATGAGTTGTTATTATTATTATTAGTTTGACTAACTCTGACTAAAAAATATTAATGTTAAAATTATGATTATCAATCGTTACATACAGAGTGATTGATTAACTATCTTTTACAGATTATCTCTAAAAATATAAGTTATCTTTTTTTTTTTTTATGAAATATTACGTTCCTATCTTATGCTGCTTAGTGAGTAAAGTTACATTTTTATGATCATCCCTTATGTATTAAATCAGTATCAACTTTTAATTTTCAAATGGTAACCCTATTTGTGTATATATATAATCAGATTAGATTTAAAAAAAATGTTTTTCGTAAAAAATTGATTTATGGGTCAAGGGATGAAGATGGAATCTTTATTTTTCTTGTCAAATAACTCAACAAAGATTTATAATAAATAAAATAATTACATATATGATAACATTAATACTTTTAGAGAAAATTCGTGGGCATAGTTAGTTAATCACCTATATATTTTAATAACCTTATACATAAACATCGTTAATTACCTGATTTTTCATAAATATATTTGGATTTATATCATCAATCGATGGATATGGACGTGTAAAATCATTTAACGGTTCCCATGATTGAGCCCACATGTTACCTGTCAATATGGCAATAATATTAAATATTTGTTAAAATAAGATTTTTATGATAAAATTAATTTACCTAATAAATGAGCTGGTATTGGGCCTTTTCTTGATACCACTGAATCACCATACTTTTCCCAGAGCTTTTTACGGACGTATGCGTGTATCTGAACATAAAGGGGACGAATTTGATTCCAAATACGTTCTATTTGAGGTCGGAAATCATCAATATCATACCCTCTGATCCAAAATTCGGAATTGTCCGTATAATCTATAAATATCAATGTTATTTTCTTAGATTTTATCCATCACTGATCAATATCAAGATTAACTGATTTTTAAATCGTGAGACAGACTATGTGAATCTAAACGAATTTATAAGGCGGCCTGGCAGTGCATCACTGGCATCACGTCACAAATTAATTTTGTGCGTTTTTATCCGCATAGGTTCTGTGGTTTTGGCATTGCCGTGCCAGTGATTTGATTTTTCAATAATTAGACATGACAATAATTAAATTTAATGACGTTCTGTAATAATCAATCCTTAAAAACATTAAAAGCTTTGTTTATATAACAAAGCTTTTATTGGCACATAAACGGGAGCGATATGAAGTACAAGTATACCAAAGACCTAAATTAGCACTCTAAGTTTTTAAATTTTTAGCACTTATTTTAAAGTGGTGAGTAAAAAAACCCAGCACAGGGGGTTCGCGGCACAGTGGTGACGTGACATAGTTGGGTCAAGTATAATGATATCTGACAGTGATTAAAATCACTATCATAAAAAACGCTTCGATGCAAATCTTTAGATAGTGTTTAGTTTTAAAAAATTGGTTGATTATTCCAAAAGTTACATGATCTGCTACTTCTTTATTTATATCCTGATTAAGATAAAGTATGTCGAATAAAAGAGGGATATAAATATTATTTCTCATAAAAATTGTATTGATGTAAAATGTAAAAAAGAAAATCGAGAATTTTCACACAAAAATAGCATTNGAAAATCGAGAATTTTCACATAAAAATAGCATTTGGTAGCCATTTTCACCATGAAGACAAAATAAAGTCCGAAATTTTTTTTTCCCGTAATAATGTACATTACATTAGCTTTAATTTAAGATATATATAAAAGTGTCAGAGTTTCCGGAAAACTTTCAAAAGTTAAGTTAAAAAAGTTATTGTTTTGTGAAAAAGTTGTCATTTTGAATTCTCCCTGTGGGCTGGTAAAGGATCAGATTAATAAAAAAAATATACAAAATGATAAGTAAGAACATTATGTATCTATAAAAAAAAAAATTATATTGATATGTTCATTTTTTAAAAAGTTATGGCAGTTTTTAGTAAAAAAAATTGAAAAAATTAGTGATTATTAAATTTGTAATTTTTTTGGAGGTTTCCCCCATTTACGGGAAACAAAGGAAATTTTTTCAATTTTTGAGGGTAATGTCTTCGACTAGATACGATTTGTGATCTTTTGACGTATCATTGAAAGAAATCGGTTCGGTGAGAGCTGAGAAAAAGTGGTAACAGACACAAAAAAAAAACACATCTTATAAAACCAATACCTTCTCAGCTTCGCATCGAAGTTAAAAAAATTCATCAAAAAAATATTGTTCTTTTGGTCAATAATTATAATAATTTTAGCTTCCAACATTTAGATTAGATATGATATCAATTGGCTGTTTATGAAAACGATACTTATGATTATTTCTTTTGACACGGCTTACATCGCAATATGTATTCGACATTGGTTTTAATGGTAGCAACCCAACTGTTTATTATTCATGAACAACAGATTAATTTAAAAGAAACCGAAAAGACGAATACAATTAATAATAACCTTCGCATGATATCGCGGCACTTTTGATAGTATCGGGACGCAATGTCGAATTAAAAGCACAAAAGATGTCGTTTTCTTCAGAAATAACGACAGAGATTATTTGTATAGATTTAATAATTTTAAAATATTAATATTTGTACAAAAAGTTGACAGAAAAAACATATGTATGTAGTGGTGGAATTACGGGGAGTACAAGAATTCTAAACTCTTCTAAACTACTGTTAAAAATTAGCATTTTTGTAAAAATATGGAACACATTGTGAAGACTAACATGCCACGCGGTACAAGTCATTGGAACAATCGCACGAAAAAGCAAATGATACCTTCATCTGTATATTAAATTCCCCGAAATTTTACAATATTAATAATTAATTTTAATTACTTACTGTTCAATATAGCTGCTTCGTTAGCTAATTTTACGTACTCTTTAAAATGTGATCGTACTTTTTTGCCTGATGATTCTCTCCATTGAATCCACACGTATTTGAGTTCATTAACATCATTGCTTTTTTCCAATATTTCTACTAAATCTACAAAATTAAAAAATCCATTTTAACGGTATCAAAATAATAATAAATAAATAGCATCAATAATTAGAACTCAGGGCTTAATAATACATATATTTTTGATTTTTGTTAAAAATAATTTATCAAAGATTTGAGCATACATCGTATTTTAAAATTAATTCTTTATCTATGAATAAATATACAATAATATAATAGAAAATATAATAGTATAATAGAAAATTAACCTAAAAAACTTTTAATAAAAAAAATTCTAATTTAGAATAAAAAAATCTCTCCCTCCTCCTGAAACTATTTTCTGATATTTACTGGTTATAGTCGTAATAAAATATTGGTGTATATTTTATTACGACTATAACCAGTAAATTTACGATGCTTTGTTAACTTAAAATATTTTGTTATTTCTAAGTTAATAAATTACACGGATATGGTAAACATTTTTTAATATTTGTCGGACTACTCGAAAGTATTTGAGAATTATTATTGCACAAAACATTAAAAGCCTAAAATTTTTGTGAACAATGTTTTATTTAATCGGTTAAGTTAATCAGGATTTTTCTATCAATATTAAGGATTGATTAAGCTTAAAAAATAAACCCATATAAGCCTTTACATAAGCCTTTCAGTGCTCTAATTTATAAATATATTGATTAATACCTGGTTCTAAACTCAAGGTTCGTCCGGAATCGGTAGTGCCGTATTCCTGTATAGTAGCTTTACTGTATATACTTTCCATGTCAGCGACTAAAGCATCAAACTGTAAAAGAACAATTAATTCTTACTCCATTAATTTAGTCGCATTTATTTTTGAACTCGTTACTTTATTCAATTTTTCTTCCGATAGAGCAGCTGTACCTAATACAGACAAAAGCTTGAATTGCCTTTTTGTATCTGGATTTTTATATGTAGTCCATGGGAATTTAGTTGTTTCCTTCCATAACTCTTTTACAAACTTTCCATACGCTGCATTGGTTTTTAACTAGAAAATCATGAATATCAATCTATCAGAAGAATAACCTGATAAAAGAAATAAGAAAAGGGAAAAATCTAAATTTTGTAATTTTCGAATTAACGTTTTTAAAAAGTATTCCATTTTCAATAAATTTATTTGTTAGTATTAGTATTAGTATTCTAACAAAAACATAGTTTAAACATTTGTTTATTATTATATATTTAATATTGAAACGAGATCACATTGTGTTAAACAGTAAAATGAATCTATTCTTAGGTCAAACTACAATTAATATATAATATAAATTTATTACATTAAATATAATAAATTGTTTTGTTTCTTTTTTAGTAAAATATATCAATAATATCAAATTGAAAATAAAAATAAATAATAAATGATCAGTTTTACTTCCTTCTATTTCCCGAACTTAACATGCTGAAGAGGGCGATGACTCTCTTTTAAATGTTAGTAAGTCAAAGATGATTTTTGACACCAGAGACTAGACACCACAAATGAGATAATCACAAGAAAAATCTTGTTCGATCGAACTCGGGATCCCATGCGCTGAAATATACGTTTCTACCCACTAGGCCAAACTAACCCCTTTAATATCAAACTAAAAATATCGATATATTATGACCAAGTCTATTGTAACTCTGCATAGTAGAAACCAGTTTAACATAAATTGATATCCGACTGATTAACATCACTATCATAAAACGATTTGGTACGATTTTACATAAAAAAAAGACTTGAACTAATAATTTATAGTATAAATTTTGAAATTTTATTCTTTAACACATAGTGAACAAATACATCAGGACAATTTTTTATTTAAATAATAAATGACATTGAAGATAATTTAATGTAAGTTTAAAGAACGCAGACGTTCTCAAAACTTAAAAATATAAATGTTTTTTTTTAATAAAAAATGCTGATTTATTTACATTATAAGCCGATTTCACATAGTAAAATAGTCGTAAAATCGACTATTGTCGACTATTATTACATAGTAATAAATTCCAGACAATATATTTTTTTAATCATGTAGTAAATTTAAAACCCTTTCATTTGATATGCATTTAAAAGATGCAGACAAACTGGAACATTTTTAAAAATGAAAATAAAAAAATAATTTAAATGAATAGATGACCTCATACAAACTTTTACTGTACCTCGATTTTCAATTAAATTGTTTAAAAAGTATATGAAAAGATCTTTTTAAAAGGTATTGAGATTATAAAATAAGCTAATGTCGCGATATTTTTAAGTTATAAAAATGGTTTTATCAATTTCAAATATGTTAAGTTTAAGTAAATCCGGTTAAGTGAGAGCGAAGAAATTTTACGGAAAACATATTATGGCAATACCTCCTCAGTTTGGCATTGAAGCTAAAAACCAATAATCGATTTTTCAATATGGCCAATATCAGCCAATTTTCCATTCTATTGATTCATACTAAAGGTAATCTTTAGTTTAATACTAATCATAAACCATAACAAACCAGAAAATCCAAATCCAACAAAATATTATTGTAGCAAAAAATCATTAGATTATAATATAATTTGAGAAATTAGTGTTATCGGTATTATCAATTTTAATAAAATTTTAAATCTAAAATTACCAACTTTCTAAGTGCTTATGTGTACCGAAATTGCCTACCTAATATGCCTTCACATCAAGTGCAAAAACGATAGCATCTATTAAATTTCTTTTATGAAATAAAAGAAGTGTTATTTACTTATTGAAAGTATAAATTTGTCATATTTGTATAACGTTGTTTATTTTAGCTTCGATGTGAAGCTGAGAAGGTATTAATTTAACCATGATGTGTTTTTTTTTGTGTTTGTCACTACTTTTTCTCAGCTCTCACTGTGCTGAATTTTCTCAACGATACGTCAAAGATCACAAATCGTAGCTAGTTAAAGGCATTACCCTCAAAAAATAAAATTTTTTTCCTCGTTCTCTGTAATTGGTGAAAGTCCCCCAAAAAATTACGATTTTTAAAATCGGTAAATTTTGAAATTTATTTCACTTTTTTTAAAATTGCCATAACTTATTGAAAAATAAACAAATAAAATTTTTTTTTTTATATTGAAACTTAAGATATTTCCCTATTATTTTTTTGAAAATCTGACTCTTAACCTAATCATATATATATATAGTTTTTCAAACTACAAATTTTTTTTGTGTTGGATTTTAATAATTTTTTTAAGTTTATTTTGGGTTTGCCAAGTTTTCTTTTTTAATTAATATTCTATGATTTTAAGTGAGTATACAATTATACTAATTCTAAAATATAATTTTAAAAAAATGCAACAAATTTTTAGCATTATTGACTTTATTTTAGCTTCGATGCGAAGTTGAGAAGGTATTAGTTTTACTATGATGTGCTGTTTTTTTGGGGGGGGTGTCTGTTACCACTATTTTTCAGCTCTCACCGAACCAATTTCTTTCAACGATACGTCAAAAGATCACAAATCGTATCTAGTCGAAGACATTACCCTCAAAAATTGAAAAAATTTCCTTTGTTCCCCGTAAATTGGGGAAATCTCTAAAAAAATTACAAATTTAAAAATCGCTAATTTTCGACATTTTTTCAATTTTTTTTACTTAAAACTACCATAATTTTTTAAAAAATGACCAAATCATTATAATTTTTTTTGTAGATGCATAATGTCTTTACCTATCATATGGTATATATACATATATATACTTGTCCACAGGGGGAATTTAAAATGATAACTTTTTCAACTTAACTTTTGAAAGTGTTCCGGAAAGTCTGATACTTTTATATATATCTTAAATTAAAGCTAATGTAATATACTTTATCATGGAAAAAAAAAATGTCGGACTTTATTATGTCTTGATGATGAAAATGGCTTCGAATGCTATTTTTGTGTGAAAATTATCGATTTTATATTTTACATTTTTAACTTTATAATGCTATAACTTATTGTAAAGTGTATGGATCAATACAATTTTTTTTATGAGAAATTATATTTATATCTCTCTTTCATTTGACATACTTTTTTTTAAATAACATCATTTTCCTTTATACATTTATATATTATAAATATATAACACTTATAAATCATAAAAGTTGTAATCATGATATAATTAAGGAAATAGGAGATCATGTAGCTTTTGGAATAATCCACCAATTTTTTTAAATTAAACACTATTTAAAGATTTGTATCGAAGCGTTTTTTTTTTTTATAGTGATTTTAAACACTGTCATATATCATTACTCGACCCAACTACGCCACGTCACCACTGTGCTGGGTTTTTTAATTTATTTTTTGATCAATTACAGTTAAATTATTTATTTTTTCCAAAAATATTCTAAAATAATTTTATTAAATTAAAAAAAAAAATGATCATTCAAATATGATTGATTACTATAGAATAGTGTGTATTAATATAATATATATATATTGCATCCAACTTAATGTACTATGAAAACAAGTCTTGTTTTATTATTTAGTCGTTGAAATACAGTGTAGATTAACACAATGGACGGATCACTGTTAATGTAATTGTGATTAAATTTTCAAACATTAAAAAATATGAAAAGTTAAAGCGGTGTTAGGATAATGACTACTGACTTAACTTGGATTTTATGAATTGTCTAGTCACGATAATCTCATTACTCATGAGTAATTTGGATTAAAAGGATTTACTAATTTTATAAAAAATAATATTATTTAGTCAACGTATTTATCGAAACGGTAGATGACACAGCTCGGGAGAGACTTTCTTGTAGTTTATACAAATAATAAAAACCTTATTATTCTGAAAAATATTAAGCCACTACTATTTAAGTAATTTAATAAAAAATTGTTTTTTAGCATAAAACCGTTAAATTAATTTCGCCATGTATTATTTAACATAAATTATCATATACTTGCCTTTTCTGCAGCATTCTCGTCAGTTAAATTAGACGACCAATTCCAGTCTGCATGAATCAACTTATTAGTCCACTTAGCTAACTCTTGGTTTGCGAAAACCAAGAATTTTCTGGCTTCGATTTCTTGGTCCAAGACTTGTTCAGTTAATACGACCGGTTGCCATGCTATAACGGTAACAGCGTATAACCAAAGTTGATACTTTGACAGCATAGTGCAGGTTCACGTCTAAGTAATATAAGCATGACTAAGTATTCTGTAGGAAATTTTGATTATGTTTTAGACTATATTTTAATTTATGTGAAATAAAAAATAAAATAACTAATTATTATCATTGACTAAATTATAATTAATCTTATACTGATCTTCAGTAATAAGTATACACTGGACATTATTAATATTTTATTATTTAAGTTCAAACACAACCTAACGAAACCATTAAGTTATAACTTAAAGTTTTAACTTGACTGTATGTTATTATTTAAACTTGACCTGGTATACGAAAAAATAATCATGAAAATATCTACTATATAATTGTAGCTGTAAATGATAATTCGTGATTTGTATCAATGACCTACTTGAACATTCGGTCACAGATGTTTTTATAATTAGAAAATGGAAACGCTTTAAAATTGTATTAAGGATACTCGTAGTTTGACAGCTTTGTATTGCTAAAATAATGAAGCCGTTTTCTTTTTTGTGAATTTTTATAACCCAACCTTTTAAAATATTTTAACCACAAACAACCATGCTAGATCATAAAAATACTTGTATACTAATTAATACTCGATATAAATTTTATAAAAATTATTATCACTTATTATTTAACGTTGTGGTAAACAACAAGTTCCCCATAAAAAAGAGTAATAAACAGTTGAGGGACAAATAGAGATTTTAGATATTCACTACGAGATTGTTTAAATTAATAAAGCCTTTAATATACTAAAAGTTAAGTTTTTAAATTTAAGTGAATATCGATTTAAATAATGCACTAAATAAAAGCAAACTAATTATTTAAAATATATTAATATAAATTAAAGAAAAATATAAAAAAATACATCTTTAAGGAATTTTAAAGGAAAATATATTTTTTTAATTTTTGACTATTATATAATTTTTTTATTTAGTGCTTAAATTCTTATTAACGTTATTTGAGGTATAATTTAAAGACTTTCAAGAAGTACTATAAATTTCAATTACTTAACATAAATGTAAAGAATGTATTTATATAGCCATGGTTCGAAAATAATTGGTTTTAGTTTTAACCCAACTGAATAAAATAAAATACAATCTTTAATGAATCATATTAACAAACTGTCGTTGTTTGTTTATCATTCAAATTATATTTTTATTTATTTTCTCTATTAGCATTAACTGAAATTTAATAAACATATTTAGGTTATAAAAATATATAAAGTTTTTTAAATAATTTTTAATAAATTACCCCAAGATAGCAAAATTTTAAATACACCCCTGATCTTAATAATATTTGTGTTACTCTAAGAAAAAAATATTGCAATGAAATTACGCTAAACATGACTTAATCCTATTTTCAAATAAATAAACTGTCATATTATACTAAAGAAATCGGATTATAAATTTTATATTTTAATGTCTATTGATACAAACATAATTTAGGTATAATTTATTAGAATTTGTACTGGAAAAAAAATGTGTACATGAAAACGATTTAATAATAATAAAATAAAATATATTTGCTCATAATTTAGTGTTTAATGTAATAAATATAAAAAATAAATCTCAGTGAAAAGAATAAAACAATTTACAAGAGAAATATAATATTAGTTACACATGAATCTATTGAAATTGAAAATATTTGATTTAATTATATTAAAAATTTTAAAATAGCTACTATGTTTATTAGTTTTTCTGTTTTTATATATATATACAATTTCAAATTAAATCAGAAAATTATTAAAACAAACAAATAAAAGACTTTAAATGTATATCTATATGATGAAATAAATTTAAAAACGTAAAAGAACCATGATTTTTTAACAATAGTAAAGTTTTTTATACTTAAAAACTTATTTTTCATTTAATTATTTTTGGCAATCTACTTCTTTGTTATGAATATTAAGCATGTACGTTTTTATAAATTGCGTTGTACAGGTGTACCTACAGTATTAACGTAGTATACATGAGAACCGTGGAGCATTCAGCTTCCAAAGAAACATTGGGAGCCACACAAATGAATTTTTTTATGGGAGGGGAAGGAAAGAGATGCAGCAATGTAGTAGAGAAGTTTCCCGTTAAAAATTATGAAAAATTATTTAATTCTTATTTAAAATATTTTATTTTGAATATAGGGATGTTGCTTGGGAAGTATAAAATTATTTAACCTAAAAGGAAATATCTCTAAGAATAATTAACATCCAGGCCTTAAATGCTATTCCATTTATCTTTCATAATTATTCAAGTATACATGACTGAGCATTAAATCAGTTTTTCATTTAAAAGTGCATTATTTTAGTGATAGTCAAAATTCGAATTACATAAATTATTATTGTTGTACTTATTGTGTATATTGATATAACTAACTTAACAAAAAAATTAATAAAATAAAGTTACGATTTATATACAGGTAATTCATAAATTTTAATATTATTGAAATTACAACGTTCTTGTTAATTGCTTCATAAGTTATACAAGTTATCACTTAGATCTTTTCCGCTCTGTATATAATATATACAGAGTGGAACAATGTTAGACCGGACAAGTTGATTATAATTTATTTTATAATGGGATAATAAAATTGTAACACTGGAAACATAAATTTACTTATAGTTAAAATTAAAATTTTATAAGTTATTAAATTTTAAGAATTTAACATATAAACATGATTTTGATCTGTGAAAAATTAGAAACCAAGTAATAAAATGAATGAATTACACTAAAAAAAAAAAATAATTTTATATCATATAATGCAATAAACTTACTTGAAAGTACTTTATAGATGCTTCAGGTGGTAAGATACTTTTAAATGGGTATAGTGCAGAGCATTGAATATAAATTCAGCGATTGATGAAATTGAGATGAAGCAGCATGAATGCGTAGTGTTTAACTAACGTAATACACGTTTGGTACTACAAAGTAATATAGTTATTAGAATATTTACGTTAGCGCACTCAGTTTAATTAGAAGCGAAAAAAATAAACTCCCGTTATAAAACGATTAGAAAAACCCTCGAACGATACAATAAAGAGGGGATTGTCAATGTTAATGCTGAAAAAAAAAAACAAATTCTCCGTTGTTGTCAAATAAGTTTTCATTTTCTATGTAATAAGAGCGTCTGCTATTAACAGAAAAGTAGCCTGCAGATACTACAATGAACATTAGATAAACAAAGTGGCCTTTAAGTAACTGAACAGTCGAATTAAATAACACCAATTATTTAATCAAATACTTAAAACCTCAACTTACACCAGAACCGCATTTAAGAATGTGCCGCCTAAGATAATTAAATTTGCAACCCTCAATGACATTTTTAATTTGCTTATCAAAAAACTTTTTCTCTAATTTATATGCACCACTATTTTTTTTTATCATTTGATAAAAAAAATAAAATAAAAGGTCTTCAGCTTTATAATTTAAATTTCAGTGTCGCCATTAAACTAGCCATCAGGCACATATTCACCCAGTCCTTCTCTAAATGCTAGTCCCCCGACTTATCGTGATTTGGTATGTAGCTTAAAATTAAGTAAAGAGAACACAATGCCAAGATAAAAAGAAATTAAGGATATTATCATTTTTAAATATATATTAGAGATGGGACGAGGATATGACAACATTTGTCAATAGATATTTCTCGGTCGTACCTCTCCTCCCGCCAAGACATAAAAATGTTAATAGCTTTAGATGTAATGGTTCAACATTGTTATCGATCATTCATTTTTTAATTAGGATATTTTTTTATTTTATAAGTTAGCCACTTAAAAAAATAAAGTTTATTTAAATTTAAAAAATTTCTATAACAATTTCAAAAAATAAATGAACACCGTGTTTTTATCTTTTATTATTTTACAGAAATTACTACTTTAATATAATAACAAAGTTGTATTCCGAATTTACAAAATAGAATTTAATTTCTAATCACTTATTATAAATTACTAGTACTAACATAGGTAAATACTTTAAACATGAAGTGTAAAATTATTAAGAAAAAGTTATTTCTCGATTCTAAAAGTAAGATACTTTCCATTTTTTTAACATTAGTAGGTACACATGAGAATGAAGTGAAAAATATATATTACATTATATTATTATTATAATATATTAATACTATACAATTTTTATAATAATATAATCCTAAAAACGTAATCCCGATGACAAAACAGTACATTATATTAAGAGTGGTCGATAGTTCAAATGATAAATAATAATAAAAATCTATTTTGAAATATTTTGTCTCGTTTATGTGGAGTAGTCTGGTCCTATTTCATCGCTAATATTATGTATATATATATATTAATTATGTATATTATATTAAATGATTTGGTCATGACACCCATGAACTCTTCCCTGAATGCACCACAAAATTCTGCATACTGCAAAAGTAAATTTTTGTTTTATGAAATAATTATTAGACTTAAGTTTGTAATATAAGTACTATACATGCGTAATAGGGTTGAAAAAAAAAATTTTTTTTTTACTCTAATATGTAGTTACAACTGATATGGGCCCGAAAACCGCGGTCGTCATAGTAATATATTACAGATGATTATATGGATCAATTATTTACTTTGTCTTAGATACACTAAATTTATTAGTTTATATGTGATTATTAATGGTTTCGTATTTTCAATGGTATTTTTGCTTAAATCTATTTTTAATTGGTGTTAACACTATTTTCCGCCAGTGACCGTGACGGTGACAGCCGCGCGACGATGTGCTTCCGATAACAATAAATTTTATGCATTTAGTATATTACTATTTACCATAGATTATAAATTGAATAATGTGTAAACTTAATTAAATCGCATTGAAATCTTATCTATTCAATAGTTTTATTTGAATTGTTTGAATAACAAATTCGATAGTCTATCTAGATAGTTTATGCTAAAAATAAAGAGTTAATATTTCAAGTAACACCGATAGTGTACACTTTTTAAGGGATGTTCAGAAACAAAACTAATTACCTTAAATATTTATTTCACACTAATAATAGTTACATTTCGTAATTAAGTATATTAGAATATGTTAGAAATGGTTTTTTAAGAATTCATAGCAAAAAATTTATTAAGTCTTTCATTTAAGCTTCTCATATTTAGTTCTTTCTAAAAAACTATCAATAGTCTTCTGTCCTTTACAATATCTAGTTCTACTAGACAAGTATTTTATTTTGAAATTTGACTACTTATACATCACTTTATTTTTCTATGAAAATGTCTTGAACAAGTTAAATTAGGCTTCCTCAGACATATTTATCATAGTTTTTTAGCTTGTTTAATGTAAAATGTATTTCATTTAACTCATAATTATGACTAGTGTTGTTAAACTCATAAAGGCTTCTAAATTTTTTATAAGGCTATTGGTAATTTAATAGGTAAACATTACATTTATTTTAGTAATAGGTGTTTTTTTGTCTCGTAAAAAAAAATTTAAGTCTAAAATTTCAGCTAAAAAAATAATTACTGTAATAAATGCTGATTATTAAAAAAATATATTCGTTTTTTAAGTATGATAATTATCGTGATGAAAAATAACAGAGCTCTATTGATTTACTAATTTTCTTAGCTGTTGAAGTAACTGAGATGGTGAAGTATTTTATCTTTATTCATAAACAGACTGTTATTTTTTAATAATTAGTGATGAAACAAAAATTATAATTTAAAACTTTTGACAATACTAAGTTTTAACAATGCTTCTTCCAGATGTCACCAGGTTTTTATTTTATAAAATTTTATTCCTATTTCAAAATTTTCTGGTTGACCGCAGTACATTATAAATATTAAGGTTACATACTATTGTATATGTTTAGCGTAAATTAATTCTTTTGAATACCTTGATTTATTATGTTTTAGATAATTGTTTTATCAATACATATTATATGTATTAATAATTAGTTACTTTGACCTTAGATTCGGCAAATCTGATGAATGATATGTAACGTAACTTAATCGAGTATTTTTTACTTATAAATATTCATAATTACTACATATGAATGATGAGAGAATGACTGCTAATTTTTCAATTTACAACAATCATAGTTCTATCACGTGATCTTCTTTGGATTATATTCACAACAATGGCTATCATATTATTTACTTTGACCCCGAGTTTAAAGTAAATCAATACGCAAGATACTCGGAACTTAAAAATACCTTTTCTATTCGCTATAACTTTTTATTTATTTGGACAATTTTGAGTAATTTTATAAAAAAAATGTTTGATAATACAAGACCTCGACAGGCTAGGTGAGCTACCGAGAAAATCTCGATGGATCCCATTAATCCTCGTAAATATGTGTGCCTACATTTTTCAAAAATTGTATTTTATTCAGTATAACCAGTTTTAATCGGTTTTGATTGTTATGGTATTATTTTTAGATATTGTTATAGATTAGAACAGTTAGATTTATCAAACAAAAAATTATGTTTTCAATCCCTTTAATCATAACATTATGATAAATCAACTAATATAAATACAATATTACTTAATTTACGAATCATGTAATTTATAAAATAGCTCAAAATAGTAGATACAACTTATAAATAGTTGAAAATCCTTAGGTTTGGCAAATATTTATTGAAGACGATTTTTAAGGCGATATAAATTTACACTTCACGTTGTGTTATTAATGTTGGGGTGTTAATTGTTTATAACATTTTCATTTGGTTAGTTAAATAATTTTAAATGAATTCTAAATGGAAAAGTGGTACTAGTAATAGTATCTAAGAGGGAGAGAGAGCACTTTTTGAAGTATTCAGCTCAAATGTTTGATAACTTGGAATTTGAGTTCTTTCCATAAATGTGGTACTATGGAATAATTTTTTAAAAAAAGCATAAAAACATAAATAAAAAAAAAGGTCGGATTGGATAAAAAAATACAGACTGTAGGCATTTTATTTTATATTTCCTTTTTGTGCACACTATAAAAATGATCTAAACATTTTTATACGTTAAAATGGAATTTTTAATATGCAAGAGTTTAAGTCTGACATAATGTATCCAGAATTTATACACAAATATGACATTTTATCACTATTCATCAAAATTTCCTTTACATTGTATGCATTAAAAACTTCCAATTTATGTATAACAAAAAATTCAGATACTTTTTTTGACAGTGTAATATACTTTAGTTGTAGCTCAAGGTGCGATTGCACTTTAGTACTCTGACCCAGTCCACTCCCAGATTTTCCCTTGAATCAGATTAACATTTTTTAAATACATTTATTTTTGAGAAAAAATGGGTGGTTGAACAATTGAAAATGAAAAAAAATCAACAAAAACCGAAATATAGGTAAATATACGCCGTATACTCTCCACTGCACCACTCATTTGGTTTGATGTTTTATTAATTAGTATATTCTATAGGAGAGTTTTAAGTTTGCCTATATATTATTTGATCAAATTTTTCACCACCCACGCGATAAAAATTGTGTTTTCGTTCCATTAATATTATTACGTAAAATACCCAACATGTAAAGTTACTTGTACAGAAAATTACCTTCAACTTAATTTGCTGAAATTTATAGCAATTATAAAAAATTGTTACAGTAATAAATTATCTACATTATGTATACTTTATTAGATTTAAACAAACGAACATTGTAATTTGGCAATATTATTAATATTATTTGAGATTATATTAATATAGAAAAATAATCCTTTTTAAGTAAAATATTAAACATTTTTTTTAATTTACTTATATAATAACAAGGTTCATCATAAATTACTTAATAACTTAAAGTTAAATTGAACTTTTTAGCTAAATAAAATTAATAACTTGCCCATCCTTGTATAAAAATTGTAGAAAACATGTTTGAAACCGTGTAACTAGCTGAGGATTAATGACATTGAAAAATATAAGAAATGTTGAATTTTAATTAATTTTTTTTGTAAGAACACCACTACTGATAATTAAATTATTAGTGTAAGAAAAAAAAAACTTAAAACTCAACAAAAATAAAGTATTACTATAGGATATTAAAAAGTAATTTCTTTAATATTCAAAATTTAAAATATTTCTGAATGATAGATCAACAAATAATATAATAAAAATACATATAAAATACATCAATTACAAGTTAATTACAAATTTTAAGTCAACATAAGTATTAAATCATATAATTTGTAAGAACCAATAATTTTGTGTATAATAAAAATTTGATTAAAAATGGTTCAGATGTTTAATCTGCACAGTCTTGGGGAAGCTTTATAACATTAGTAATATTGTTAAATAAACTATGAAATGTGTCATAACTTTTCATTACATTAATATTACCTATTATAATAAGCTTTTTTTTTGCTCTTGTTATTGCAACAGTAATTCTTCTTTTATCACTCAATATTCCAATATCCTGAAAATGTGAATTTAATATGTTGAAAAACATTAAATTGAAGGAATTACTATACTTTTTTTTTGGTGCATCTATAGCCATTCAGGATTATTGAAGCCTCACTAAAAAAGAGGTTTCTTATACTTTTTATACTTTGGACTTAATCCATTATTACAGACAAAATGAGGCCCCAATAATGTAACTGATTTTTTGTTCAACAAACAATAATTTATAATTGAGTTTTAAACCCCTTATAGCGCGTGTCAATCACTGCTGTAACTGTCACTTTACTAACTCAGGCACACCATCCCTCATAACTATAAATTACTATTACTTCTATAAATTACTTTAGTAAAATTATTTTTTGTGCACGAGTAAATAATAACTTCTTTGTCACGTCCTTGATATTGGTCAACAGTATTTACTTCAATATCTGGATCTATATTACACAAAGTATTTTTTAAAAGTGCAACTTGAGCTCTGTAAGGAGCTATAATACCAATTGATAATCCTAGAATTCCACACTAAAAAATAAAAAATATTACGAATAGTGTCTTGACCTTTTTTTTTTTATTATTGTTATTAAAATTTTTAAAGATAAAATTCTAAATTTATTATAAAACAAATTTAACTCACCTGAATTAAAAGTAAAACTAGTTTGTTTATAATTTTTACTTCTATTATATTGCTATCACTTTCAGTCGATTGATTTTTCAAAATTTCAGTATCCAAAAGTAAAACAGATTTGTTTAAATCTGATGATAATACTGCTTCAAGCCATTTACTATTAACCTTTATAATTTAAATAATTTTTTAAATTATTAAAAAATTTTACACACTAAAATATGTTAATTTAATACTACTTACATTACATTTTTTAAGATTTAATGTTGCATTTTTGATATCATCATTTGCACATTTCAGACTTCCATTATAAGCATAATTATTAGCGAGTTCAACAATCGAACCATTCATTCGGTATTGAACATTCAAAATAGCAGTAACTGAAGGTCGATCTAATCTTTCAAACAAACTAATATCCATACCAAGTTCCCTAAAATAATATTTGACTGTTTTTATTTGATGGTTAGATAGTTAATTTAATAACCATAATACATACATTTTACACACATAATTAGATATGTTTAATGTTTTTACATATATAAATTATGAAGATATTAATGAAATTTTTAATTTTAAAAATAATATAGTAAATATTAGTTACTCAGTGACATGATCACATGCCTCAATTTGTGCAAATGTCACATGTCCACTTTCTTTTGCATACCATTTCCTGAATGGAATTCTAGTGATTATAGGAGATAAATAATAAGAAATATATCTTAACTAAATTATTTTTTTTATTTTTATCTTGATAGCAATTTTCACATAAAAAACAAATCTAGAGAATAAATTATTTTTCAACGTTAAATACATTAAACAAAATTTAAAATAATTTATACTAAAAGATTTCAAAATTCCTGAATATATTGCCATGTTAATTTTGTATATGTGTACATATATGTGGTTATTTTAAGCCCCCCACTATTAACAAACATGTAGTGAGATTTTTATAAAAATAATCATAATAAACTCATAGACTAATACATAATATAGGATAAATAACATTAGACTGTAGAATAGACTATACTGTCCTAATAATGTATGTACAAAATTGTACAATTATAACCATGTTGAAATTGATATATAATTATCAAATATTTATTGATAAAATATACAAAATATAATGCTATGCACAAATTCCAAATTATATTCTAATAAAAACTTTGCCTGGACATAAATGAATAAATTTTAAAGTGAGTGAAATAAATTTAAACAGTAAGTTGATTATTAAATACATGTTCAACCAAATTAAAATATATATATATACCAATAAATTTGATTAAAAATATCAAAAATTTGAATTATTAACATATTTGAAAAAAATTAATAAAAAATATCTGTATACTTAATAAACCAAAAATGTAATTTATAACTAACACAATAACTGAAAAAATGTTATAAAAAAGATAGATAATAATCTAACATATATGAAAAACTATAATATGAATTGAAGAGAAAAATTAAATTGGATTAAAATAACATTTTCTAAAAATTATGAATTAAAATATATATATGCGCAAAAATGTGCTAATACCCTTATTTAAAACATTCATGGAAAAAAAATGGTGATAAATTAATGTATTGAATTCATGTTTTTATATCTCAAAAATATTTTTTGGTGGGTCTAGTGAAAATTTCTAAATTTAAGATGTAAAACACTAGTATTTTTCTAGAAAACTGTTGAAATTTTAAAACGCTTGCAGGCGAGTAGCAAAAATTTTCTGATTTTCAATAGTCTAAACTTTTAAAGACGATCATGTTTTTTACTGCATCAAGTAATACTAAATATTTTATTATGACTGTATAAATTAATAAATGTTAAAAATAAAATACATTATCAGTTTAAATAATTAATATTAATGAGTTATCTAGGTTATTTATATAGTGAACTTTGTAGATTTACACAAAATTGTATAATGATTCTACTTTAAGATATAAATCCTACTGAGAATAATCTATTTACTATGAAATTTGTTTTATACAACTAATATAAAGTATATATTTACTTTGCTTTTTTATTCTTTATAAGAGGTGGTAATTGTTGTGGGTCCCCAATTAAAATGAACGTTTTAGATGAATGAAGTGCAGCAATAACTGATGATTGTACTACTTGAGTGGCTTCATCTACAATACAAACATCAAAGGTACGCTTTTGAAGCAATGCATGACCACATCCCAGACATGTAACACCAACTACTTTCTATCAAAATGCATAATTATCTTTATAATGTTATTTAGTTTATTAATATTAAATTTGAAATTTGAGTACCATTTGATTATAAAAAGTTGATAATTTTTCTGGTGTATCACAATGTTGAGTAGCTATTTCATCACATTTTGAAATTAAATTTGGATGAACTCGTCTTTTAGACCCTAATCTTAAAAAATCTATGCCTTTTTTATTTAATAGTAGCAATAAATTATCTACAGCTGAATGAGTATGTGAAGTAACCAAAACTGAGCGACCCATTAACACTAATAGTTCTATCAATATAGCAACTGTAGATGTTTTTCCAGTTCCAGGCATACCCTTAATGAGGGCAAAATGTTCAGCAGCTAAAGCTTTGATAATTGCTGAGTATTGGGAATGATTTAAATTATCTGTGAGACCAGTACTTTTAACAAAATCATTTAAATTTCTATTAAATGAAACAAACGACGGTAATTCTTTGTCAATAATGAAACGTCTCAATTGATCTGAACTATCACTAGTTTCTAATAAAAGAGCTAAACTAGAAAAATTAAATGAAATAATGGATTGAGACTCATACATATCTAAATGGTACACTGATGATTTAAGTTTACTTAAATCCCTGAAAAAAATTATTATATGATAATTAATAGTATCAAACTTTTTTTGAATATTCTAAATATATATATTTTATAAAATCTAAACATTAGTCTAAAAAATGAAAGAAATAATTTCTGAATAACTACTTTATATCCAAGAGTATATAAAAATGAAGTATTTTTACTTACCTATCAAGTAAAATATCTACAGTGGATTCTGACAAAAATGAAATATAACCAGTAGCTACAGCAGTTCTTTCATTTGTACTAACAACAGAATAGCTACCAACAGAAAAATCTGTTAGTTTAAAATTATTTTTTTTTTTTTTATCTAATTTCTCCATCGTATGAATGTAATATTTATCTCCTTGTTCTTTAACATCACTGGATATTTTTAACGAAGCAATACAATGACCTCGTTTTTCACTAAAAACCAATATTAAATGATAAAATACAAATTATACAACAAAAAAAATATTTGCTAATTATGTTACAAATAATAACTAAAAACCCAACCGTTCGTCAACTGGTAGTGTCCATATATCACTAGTTTTTGCAATTAATGTATCATTTGCATCAGTATAGTTCTCTAACTGTAAAAATGCTGTCCATTGCATTACATAATCAATATGCACCGGTTTTAAATGGCTGATTGCTTGAGGAGCTAGATTTCTCAAAGGGTTGTTTTCAGTTAAAGTTTCAAAACCTTCTTTACTGTAAATTTTTTATACATGGTTCATATTATTTTAATAAAGAGAAAAAAAAAGAAGGGCGTTCTCAAAATTTGACATAGAGGAAAATAAACAAGAGAAAAAATTTTTTTTTCTCATCTATAGCAAAATAAAATTGAACTATTGCTAAGTAATTAATTTTGTCAAATAAAGTTTTATCCTAATATTCTTATAAGAACGCCCACAAAAATAATATATATATTTCTTAAACCTTAATACTGAGCTACACATTGTTAAATAAGGACATTTTGAACAAGCATTATGATGATTTATAGGTTCTGGTAAAATTGGTAAATATTCATTAATACTTTTTGAAACTATTTTGTTAGACTTTAAATAGTGTACCAAATGGTTACGTAACATAATCAAATCTCTTTTTTCTTTATGACCCACTTTAACATGCGTTAAAATATTTTCTCTAAAATAAAAACTATGGTATTATCAACTATTCATATTTTAACAAAAAAGTTTACAATACAACCTTAAGTATAATAATAGACCAGAATCAACATCCATGCCTAGTTGTGCCATCATTATTACATACAATATGACTTGTCCACGATGTTCTTCACTACCTGATGCTCGGCCGGTTTTTAATTCAATAGGCATAGTTTTAATTGAGCCACTATATTTTGCTTGAACAGTTACATCAACTTTTCCTTTAACACCAAATTCAGGTACCCATAAATTTTCTTCTATATCTTGTACAGATAATATTTCACCTTGCCAAGTCTTTTTTCCTCTGCCTCTAAAAAATATATACATATATATATATTTTTGTAATCTTTATTATACAGTCTTTATTTATATCTCACTTCTATAGTAAATAAATAATAATTTTAAATTTTACAATTTATTTGAATTTTTAATTGAATATATTTTAATATAATTTTTTTTTAATTGAAGCTTTTTAGTTTTTAATGAATATTTTAAAGTAAGTTGCTATGACATATTTACTGAACAAGAAAACGTGATGGACACGTAGTAGATTTTTTTACACAACAATCTCCTATATAACATTATGCAAATAAAAGTTTGTTCAGTAGTTCTTAGTAGTATTAAATTTATATTGCACTGCATCTAGTCACTCACAAGTTCTTTAAAACTTTTTTGTTTTATTTAAAAGTTCATTTCGTAGATTTCAAAGAGTTCTATTAAAAATGCAACCAAATAATAGTACAAGTTTTAAGCTATAAATATTATTTTTGCTATAAAATGCATAATTGATGTTTAATGGCATATACAATTTTTAGATAAAAGAAATTGAATTTACGTTTTAAAATCAGTTATATAAGTTCCAACAAAATTTTGTATTTTTGGTATAAACTCCATAAGCTCTTTTTTGGTTTTATCCAATTCCATATTAGATTCATAGAGTGTATGAATAAATCCAGAGCTATTAGTAATTTCATTAATTAAAGCTGTAATATGACTTGAATGGAACATTTTACTTTTTAATACCTAAAATTAAACACAATTACTATATGTCATTTAAATTTAAAATATTTATAATTAACTGTTTGTAATAATTGATGTAAAAGTGTTCCAGTAACCATGATGGCAGGAGTACAATCTAGACCTTTATAAATATCTGTTAAAACTGAACGACGGGTACAAAAGAGTGAGCCAACTATTGTTGTACCCGATACTAAAAAGTCAGAATGTCTAGTTACAAATCCAATATCATTATTAATAGACCAGACATCAGTGCATTTTTCAGCCATTACAGTTACAATATCTCCAACATCAAAAGAACTATTAAACCTAAAAGAAAATAAAAATAATTTTTGTTTGCAGCTTATCTGTGTAATATTTTTTACCATACACCACTAAGAGCGCACAAACTTTGTTCTTCTGAATTAATGCAACAGTTTAATGTTAAATAAATTATTGGAGGTTTTTTTTCAATTTTGGTCACTGTACATCGTCGTGGTTTAGATAAATCAAGATTTCTTATATAAGAAATACAAATCTACTTAAAATAAAATAAATAAAAATTTTAATAAAAAATATTTTATACTTAAATGTTGGAAGGCTAGAGGTAATCCAATCATCCAAAAACAATTCTGAACAAAAATCTACATCATCTATAGTACTAGCGATTGATTCAGTGCCAGTAAAAGATTGATAGTCAGTGTCAATGCACTCTTCTTGAGAATTATCAACATTTTTTATGCTTAGATTTAAATCTTTTTTTGTATGTGTACCAATATTTGGAGATTTTATTTTATCATTAACTATGTTGTTAGACAAAATTTTGTTCAAACTTCTTTTAGCTTTGATAACTTTTTTTTTTAATAATACTGGAGATGGAGGTACAATATCAGGACTAGAAAGTTTTTGGGATTCAGGAGACAGTTGCTTTTTATTTACTACATCATCATCACAGTTTTTATGAAGAATAATTGAATTCATAACATTAGAAGAATGAGAAAATAAAGATGTTATTTTTATTTGTTTTGAACTACTAGATTCAGCCTGAAATAATAAAATTTTTTGTAAATAAAAATTATTAATGTGCTTATTAGAAATTTTTATTTCTATCATCTAAAAAGGGATAGATTTCAAAGTATACAAAGTAATTTATATATTGTTGAATACTAAATTTCTCATAAAATAATAATTTTGAGAATTCTTTTGTTCAGTATTACTTATTTCTCAATTTATAAGTAATCAAATAATTTTCAACCCTTATAACTTTTAAAAGTATCACCATATAAAAAAAAAATGGTAATAATGGAACTAAAAAATAATTTTATAGAGAATTTTAATTATAGAGAAATCAATACTACTCAATAAAGCCGAAAATTCATTTTTTTTAATTATTCTATGAAAAAGCTAGTGGTCAATTATAAAATTAATAACCCTGTAAACATGATAGTGATAAATATTATTTAATGAATTAACCTAAAAAGAGCAATAGCAATAACAAAAAAAATATTTATAAGAAAAATTATTCATTATTTAATTAACGATTCAAAGGTAATACCTTTTGTACTTTACTACAAGTTCTTTTCATTATCACAGAACAACAATTTTTAAATTTTTAAAAAATAAAATGAATAGCTACTCAATTTGTTTAAGTGTTACTTTTATTATTAATTAATTCGAGCTAACACAGTAGTTATCAGGTTCAAATTAAATTAAATTACTTTTAAAATTATTAATTTTTAATTCGTAAAATAATAAAAGATGATAATAATTCCCTCGTTTTTTTTTATCACTTAGGATCACATGATGCTTATTAACATCTGACAATATTGTAGTTGTTGCGTGCAAGGGATTTTTTTATAGACAATGTGAAAATCATATTTAGTGGCGTAACCACAAAATAGATAAAACCAGAAGTGACACTCTTAGTTTTTGCTGATAACAAGCTGATGTCGCTCAGTGTAGCNTCTGATGTCGCTCAGTGTAGCCACTTAAGAAAAAAAAATGTATTCCCTTTTTTCTTTACATACGGTCACATTGTTCAACACCATT